TGACACAATGAAACAAAAGCAGAGGAAAATCTGGCAGACATATCACTTGTTCCTTTTTTCAAAAACAAGTAGAATTCAAATTACCAAACAAAATAAATAACACCAATTTTAGTAATATATTTTTAAATCAATTCAAATCCACCTTTTCAAAATTGATTTCATATATTTCCAAACTATAATTTGATTGTCCATACTTATGTCACTCACTAAATTTTGTAAGCATTAATTTGTCAATAGTATAAAAAGCATAGATAAACTACCATATTTACAAAAACCCAGAGTCACATGTTCCTTCAAAAAAGCAGCTTAGAATAAAATCAAAGAAACTATAAACATTTTAAACTTCAAACACATCTTCCACACCCCTCTGTAAAAAAAAAAAGCCCAATATAGCCACTAATATCGCACATTTCAATCATTTCCCTCTAAAAAGTATAATATGGAAAGAATTTTTACTTAAATTCTGGAATGGCAGGTAGTAGTTTGAATAATGGAAGCTACTAGGCAAATATTCTTCAAGTAGTTCATAAAACTAGATTTCCTAATTCTTTAGCACTTTTTTCTCATTAATAGACATTGCAACATAGCTTGAGGTAAAACCAAAACTTATGGCATCAAATGAATGCACCTTTGAGTTTTTACAAATGTATAAAGGGTATTTTTGAAAGTTTTCTTAACAAGCAAGCAAACAAAAAAGGGTTAGAAAAAAACAGTAATTACTCTTTTGCTAATTTCAAATAATATATTACCTCCACACACATATAAACTCTCTGATTATTTTAGGGGGTACTTTTCTTATAAACCAAAGTATCAACCAAAGAAATGAAATTGAGAAAGCAAATATCTGACCCAGAAATTACCCAACATGTTTTCCACAATCTGTGCAGAACCAAAGTTATGCACCATCCTTAGCCAAACCAAGTACACATCTTTCTGATTGGAAAGTTTTTTTCCTGAATCAGGGAGAAAGCAAATTTACTCATAGCCTAGATAGCCCAGTATAGTATGGTTAATGCCATAAGATTCTAGAAGCAGAGAGCCTGGGTTGGAATCCCTCCTCTACCATTTACTAAGTATATCTTAAGTTACTCAACCTATAAAGCCCTTAGGACAGTGCCTGGTACAGAACAAGCACTCAGTAGATGCACGGTGGCAGCAAAGCTCTAGATCTCTGCAACTTGGCATCGGTTGGGAGACTGTCAGAAATTCAAACTCTCAGGTCCAATTCCAGACTTACAGAGCCAGAACCTACAATTTTATCATGATCCCTTTACAATTTGGATGCAAATTAAAATTTGAAAAGAAGAGCTAGAAAGCATTTTTACATTATATTCTGAGATATTACCTATAATAATTAATTTTTTAAAGAACCACTCCACTGCTCTTCTGAAGTTACATTTATTTTTAGTAAAAGGCAAAGTATTATTTGGGATAAAAATTCCTCCGTTAGTGATTTTTTACCATACCTCTATATTCAAAGGGAGACCCAACTAAAGCTCAAGGTTGTAGAGGACTGCCATCTAGTGGTAGTTCATTCTGATACACATACCAAATAAACTCCCTCTGCCTATCAGTACTTTAAACACATTTGTTTAAAATGCTGCTAGGTTTTCTTTTTGCTTAATTCCTTTCTTGAGGACTACTGACACGATTACTCAACTTAATAATTCCACAAGAAGACATCTTAAATACAGAGGAAGGTAGAAGACAAAAATTTTTCAATTTCCTTTTTTAAACTCAGATTAAAAAAAAAAAAAAACTCAGATCAAGTGATCAAGCCTAGGGAAGTTTTCAGATTAAAAGATTGACCCGCTCTGTCTCCTGTAAAGGTGCACATCAGACACACAGTAGCAGCATCAGGCTTAGAAAATAGGCTTTCTTTTGAAATGTGCATTTCTTGGGGTGACTTCTACTTTCTTCTTCCTAAATTCTGTACTTTTTACAATATATTTATATAGTTTGCAGGAGTGCTTTTTTGAGAAAAAAGTATTTTGTACCCTTCTGACTCAATAACTCCACTTCTACATTCTATCCTAGGAAAATAATAAGAAACATGGGCAAAGATTTATATTCAAAGACGTTCATTTCAGCAAACCAAACAATCTCAACAGCTTCATAATAACCCACTGAATCTATGCATCAAAACTTACTTAATCATTCTCCTCTGTTACTCATTTAGATCACTTCTAATTTTTCTATATTACAAATAAATACATGTATATACAAAAGGAAGGAAGGGAGGACAAAGAGGAAGGAAATAATTAAATATATGGCAATTTGATATGACTTTTTCACATTTTGGATCACTTCCTAATATACATTCCTGTAAACCACATATCAGCATTCAGGAACATTTTCACAGTTCTTAACAGCCAACCTGCTTTATAAGAGTACTGTAAAATTTTACATGGCCACAAGCCATGTAGGATGTACAGACTGCACTATCACCTCTCTAGCAGCAAGTTTTATCCCATGGATAATTTTTTAACAGTATTACAATTAAGATATAATTTACTTACCACGCCTTAAAAGTATACAACTCAGTAGTTTTCAGTGTATTTATAGAGCTGTGCAACTATCACCGTAATCTAATTTGAGTTCATTTTCATCATCCCAAAAAGAAACCTTGTAACCATTAGCAGTAACTCCCCATTCCCCGTGCCAATCCTCCCAAAAGGCTAATTTTTACTACCTTACCACCCCATTATTTTTTCATGTTTCCTTTTAGATACCTCAGTGATATTATGCAAGTGTCTCAAACCCATGAAACAGAATAATTGCGTCTGCTACTCGTATACCTCTCTGTTTCAAATTGGGAAATATCCTGCTTAACCATAGGAAAGTAAGATACGTTATAATAGCCTCTTGCTTTTTCAAAAGGTACTTTTTAAATGTAAGGCATAATTTAAGAACTAAGAGAAGATATACAAGTACAAAGTTACCTATTCTTTTCAAAACTAGAAGCAACTCTAATTACTTTGAAAGTCCATTACTGAATATAGCAAAAATATCACACAAAAGCAAGGAATTTCTTTTTTATTTAATTTATTTAAAACTTTATTTTAATTGGGTTAACTTGATCTGGTAATAAAACTAAAAGTACAGTGCAATCAATGTAAGATAACATTTGACATGTGATCTAACGAATTGTCTTGTTAAAAATAGGGCTTCCCTGGTGGCACAGTGGTTGGGAATCTGCCTGCTAATGCAGGGGACAGAGGATCGAGCCCTGGTCTGGGAAGATCCCACTATGCCTCGGAGCAACTAAGCCTGTGCGCCACAGCTACTGAGCCCGCGAGCCACAACTGCTGAAGCCCACATGCCTAGAGCCCGTGCTCCACAGCAGGAGAGGCCACTGCAATGAAAAGCCTGAGTACCGTGGCAAAGAGTGGCCCCCGCTCGCCGCAACAAGAGAAAGCCTGCGCACAGCAACAAAGACCCAACACAGCCAAAAATAAAAAAAAATTAAAAATTTTTAAAATAAATAAATGTCTTGATGGTACCAAAAAATAAAAACTTACTTTCATTTAGCCAAAGCACTTTTTCCTCATATAATAACCTTTTTTACTCCAGATGTATAGAATTTAGCCATTTTTCTTTGGGGGATTTAGTAGGGGAAAGAACATTGAAAATAGTTAATTAAACAGGGGAGACCTAGGTCCCCCGATCATATCAGACATTTTTTTAAAGAACAGTGGAAATCAGTTCTAACAGCTGAAGTTGGGAGGGGACACCTCACAGAAGTTAGCCTCTCATCAAATTTTAGCTTTTTCTCTCCTCTCTTCATCTAACTCTAGACATCTCCCATATTCTTCAAATAATCCAAACATTCCTGTTACTCAAGGTAAGCAATACTGCAATCCAGCCAAGTGTTTTGTCTCATATCACTTTAATTACACAAAACATTTATTTGTACATTACCACCCAAAATATTCTTGCCTTTACCTCTATATACGAAAAGAGTGAGTTCACATGAATGAAGGATGCTTCCAAAATACATTTTTTGTGTCACTAAAGCAAAATCTAACATAGGTAGCCTTTTTATTAACACAACAGTTAAACAATAAACTCATAAAAACTTGAGCCCAAAGCTATATTATAAAATCCCTAGTTACTTGTTCATCAGGTGCCACACACACATACACACACACACACAATCACACAGGTGTCGACACCTGGCTTCCTATCCTTATTTCAACACCAGCAGCTCCTCTATCGTCCTGTCACAGTGAAGCGAGAGGAGTTGGATTGTAAATTATTCTCTCACAACACAAGCAACAGTAAACACAAGCAAGCACCAAGCCTTGGTAACTCAGAAACTCTGGAACTAGGGTGGTAGACCTTGTGCTAATTAGAAAGAGATACCACTAGGGTGGGAGAAACCCAGCCTCACCGGGCCAGTACTTCGTAAAGGTAATGCCTTTGTGAAATTTAGGAAAGGCACCCTTCCTCTGGGGATGTTTATTCCAGGCCAGAGAACATGGCTTGATGAGCAGGATCAGGTCTGCACTTCAGTCTCCACACGCCCCTGGTCCAGGTGCCCTGGTTTAGAAACAATCCGCACAACCCTGTACAGTGGCCCTGGAGGTGGATTAGGTGGAGACGGGTCTACAGCTTCACCCTGCCTATACCCTGCCTAAGTAGAGCCGGGACCCCCATCAATGAAGAGATCAACCCCTTCTTCCACTGAGAGAGGCAGGCGCACAGTTCCACCACAGAAAAGCTCAATTTCAGTCAGCTCATGTATAAAAGACAAAATGGAAAGAAAAGACAGTTTCAGAAATGTCTCTGTAGACCACATAAAAGTGCTGGTTATATGAAAATCAAACTCATTCAGTGTTTAAAGTTTTCTTTTTTTATTACTTTGCCCAAGTATTTGAACATAAAGGTTTCAATAAAATATGTTTAACTCTAAGATTCATACCACAAAATTCTCCATTTTTATATGGCCAAATATTCTGGTCCTTACAATAGCACACTCATGATTAAATGCAAATTACCTTTTACACCACCAAATGATCCATAAGTCATATTGCAGGCTGTTCTCTGAAGATTATGTTCATACATCAATTTGATCTGATATTGGGTCCCATGTTCCACATTACCCAAGCTTCCTAAAAAGAAATAAACAAAAAGACTGCTTTGTATTTGTTTACATTAAAAAATATTAATATCTTCTCATCCTCTTACCAATTCCAAGTAATTCAATTTCAGTGAAATTTAAAATGGCAAAGCACTAAAACATATGTATTATGAACAATTAGCATACTGATGACACAGAATGCCAGCACAGTTAAAACAATTTAAGTCTCAGCTAGATTATACCAATAGATGAAATACTACCCTGGGTGACATTGTTATCTATGTCCATTATGTCTAAGTAAAGTGTAATTATTTAAATAACAACAAAATCCTCCAATTTCAGTTCTGAAATAAATGAGGTTAAGTTCCCTGCATTTATAACGATAGACCAAAGACATGAATCAAAGTGTCTAAGAAAAAAATTCCCCACACTTTCAAGCAATTCAATTTTCTGTCCCAACTCTCAAAATATTCAAGCCCCTAATACATTATGTTCTAATTTAATAGAGAGATCTAAAGCTTCTCTCAGCAAGTAAATAGGACAATATGTTTTCTTTGAAGTCTGCCAAGAAGAATCTCCTTCAAAACAAAGAAAAATACTTTCCCTGCATTTAATAGATCATATGTGCTACAATCACTTTGTAGTTCATTCCAAACGAGAAAAGATTCTTTATCCGCATTTTACTCTCTAGTTGTTAGGCTTTCTAGAGTATATACAGTTAGAGCTATATCCTAGTGATCAGGCAAGAACATTATGATTAAAAGAGGTGTTAGAAAGAAAAATGATTCCAAATGTAACATTTTCCATTAAGCAGCATCTTTGTCATTTGTTCAAAAATGCAAAAGTTAAAAGAAAAACTTAAAATATCACAAAGCAAATGAAATAGTCCCAAACTGGATAATATTAGATGATTAAAACAATCTAAATATAGGGGCTTCCCTGGTGGCACAGTGGTTAAGAATCTGCCTGCCAATGCAAGGAACACAGGTTCGAGCCCTGGCCTGGGAAGATCCCACATGCCGCGTAGCAACGAAGCCTGTGTGCCACAACTACTGAGCCTGTGCTCTAGAGCCCACAAGCCACAACTACTGAGCCCATGTGCCACAACTACTGAAGAAAGCCTGCACGCAGTAACAAAGTCCCAAAACAGCCAAAAATAAAAATAATAATAATAAATAAATTTATTTTTAAAAAATCTAAATATATGTTTGTATGTATGTATGTATATACATATTTACACATGTGCATTTATTTGTTTGTTTTTTGTCCAGAAGGATTCACCAATGTACACGGAGGTTGTAAGAACAGAAGTACTTCTACTTCCACTTTACAACTGAGGCACCTTAACTTTAAAAAAAAATTCAACAAATTTCCCCCAAAATCACATAGCTGATAAAGGACACAGTACTCAAACTAGGTCTTCAGAGCCATCACTATATATACTGGTACCTGGTTGTCCATCATTTAACAACTTTCAGGGAACCTAGTAAGCCAATGACAATTTCCAAAATTAAAAAAAAAAAAAGCAGCATCAAAAATATGTTATTTCCTGGGGAGGGATGAATTGGGAGTTTGGGGTTAGTAGATGCAAACTATTATATATGGAATGGATAAAAAACAAGGTCCTACTGCATAGCACAGGGAACTATATTCAATATCCTGTGATAAACCATAATGGAAAAGAATATAAAAAAGAACGTGTGTGTATATATATAAATATGGATAAGAATCACTTTGCTGTACAGCAGAAATTAACACAACATTGTAAATAAACTATACTTCAGTATAATATATATATGTTATTTTCACCTCTACCTTTCTCTCCCTGGCTTTCTCTTCCTCATTTGGAAGGTGGAGGGTTGAAAGAGAAAAACTAACAGGCAAGGATTTCTTGGAGGACAACCACTTCTACTCTGATCTATGCCCCTGAAAATGCTAACAACCAAAATGCTAACATACCAATAGAGTAAAAAAACAAAGAGAAAGACTCAAATTTGCCAGCTAACCCTGATAGGAGATGAAAGCTTTCTGGAACCTAAATGGTAGTAAAATCAGTAAGGTCCAGAGAAACTGGTGGTAATCACAACCATACCAGCCACACGGGCAAAATCAAAAAACAAAAACTCTAAAAACATAACTCACAGCATTGACCTAAGGACAGTTCTAGCCTCTAAGAAACCAGAAAAAAAAAAAAAGATCCAAGAAACTTTTGGTTTGTCCCTACTGAAATTCCAAATTTCATTCTGCACCTAAAACCAGATGGACCCCTCCGAGTAAGGAATGCACTTACGCATGCCTGCTAGCCAAAAGGTCAGTGAACACAAGGGTCAGCAGTCAATATTTAAACACACTTCCATGAAATGACATTAGAATTTATGTCTTGAAAAAGCTGCAAATGCATTGGTAAGTTTTTAAATTTCAGGTGATAGCACTTTAAAATGTAATAGTGCACCTATGGAGAACAAAAGACAATTTATCTTCCTTCAATACTAACTTGGAATAAAGGTAGTACCTGAAAATCTAAAAATTCTGATCACTTGTTTTCTAGAGAAGCATTGATGGCATAAGATTAAAATTATTTACAAAGATTTTGTCCTTGAATATACAGACTGAATACAGTAAATGTATATCTATAATAATAGTCTATATATAGCTAAAGTTAATATAAAGTTTCATCAATTAGAAAGTAAATGGATATTAGAACATTTATGCTGATGGTCTTATTTAAACAAGATGTAATTTAAACAAAATAATTCTCTGGACAATCAAAGGTCACCTTGAAAACAGGTTTTGGTGTAATTTTACATAACTGCTGAGAAATCTAATGATGTTAAATGAAATAAAAGTCATTACAGAGTAAGTTAAAAGGTTCATTGTATTAAATAACCAAATTAGATTATATAACCCTGTCAAAAGTAAAGAGACATCTTTTTGCCCTCTCACGGCAAATATTAAAATTCTATAAATATGTCAAATGCTTAGTAAGTACAAAATTTTTGGAAAAGAATATTTAAAAGAACATAATCAGTATGGCTTAAGCTCACACATCTGTAACCACTTACTCAGAAACTCAGGCCCATCAGGAAGGAATCTGAGATGCCATGTGATGCTTTTCCTTTACCAGAGTATGATAAGATGGGCTAAGTTCAGGTCAGCAAGACCCTGCTGTTTCTCTATATTAAGCCTGCATTTAATGACATATCACCCCCTGAAAAAAAAAAGTCAGCACACTAGCCTCTGATTATTAAGAGTTGTTTGCTATATCCAGGAGGTCTCCTCTAATTTGCCTCAAATATTTTTTAGGAGCACATTAGCTCATAAAAGAAAACAAAAAGCATTTGGGGAGGGGGCAGTCGGGGTTAAGGATGTCAAGTTCAGCTAACACTTTTCATCTGCTGACACCAGTGGTTTCACTTAAACTAGAAAGTGTTTATGCTTCCCCTGTTATAGTAAAAGCTAGGTAAAAGTTCAGTCTGGTACCTCAAGAAACATATTCAAGAGAACAAAAACATTAACTTCTCTGCTTCTCAATTTAAGCCAAGCCAGGAAAAATATACAAATTGTCAGGCTACGAATATCATAGGAAGCTGAAGAAATGAGAGACAGAGAAGGAAAATGAGGTGGAGTGTAAGGGAATGTAGTTTGGACAACTCCTCATCCCCAGAGAATACAAAGCTTGTAAATGAATAGAAAAGAGCAATAAAATTGCCATTCCCGTGACAAATAACTTTCATTTTCAACACTAAGTTGAAGGACGATACCAATGTCCCATAAACAAGTTGTGACCAAACATGCCAGTTTCTTTCACTAGCCTTTTTTGATAAACACACATTTCATCCCTAGTCTATGCCCTACACCCCAGTGGAACTCTAGAGACTTCTGGCTTTCTGAGCCATCATTCAAACGGGACCAGGGAAGGCCAAGAGTCTAACCTAGTTTCTAGATTTTAGGATGTGTCCCTCTCCTGCCCTCTTAGAGCCCCCATGGAGCCTCTAGAAGGGACCAGTACCCCAAGCAGTATTCAAGATTTACTGTGGGCAAGTTCTCCTCCTCCATACCTGTTAATAAAATATCACTCCAAGTTAACAGGCTTATGATGGAAAACAGAGGAACAACTAGATGCCTGCAATAAAGTAGCCTATATCATACCTTCTCCATTTACTCTGGAACACTAAATATCTGCCCTACCGCTAGGAGGAACAACATCTTTTACCATGAAACCAATAAGAGTATTTAGCAATGACAGTAAGAGGTACTTTACCAGGCCTCTGATATAAATAGAATGGAAATGGAAAAGAGAATGATAGTGGTAACAGAGAAGGAAAAGAAGAAAATAACATACAGAGAGTAACAAATAGCCACTACCAATTGCCTCAGCATTACCTAGAAATAAGTTCATTTACTCATTCAACAAGTATGCCTACCACACACCATATATCAAGGCTGCCTTCAAAATCTAATAGATCTTTGCCCCAAAATGAGATGGCCTAAGAATACCCAGCTCTGGAACTTCCCTGGTGGTGCAGTGGTTGGGAATCCGCCTGCCAATGCAGGGGACACGGGTTCGAGCCCTGATCGGGGAGGATCCCACATGCTGCGGAGCAACTAAGCCCGTGCGCCACAACTACTGAGCCTGCGCGCTAGAGCCCACAAGCCACAACTACTGAGCCCACGTGCCACAACTACTGAAACCCCTGCATACAGCCTGTGCTCCGCAACAAGAGAAGCCACCACAATGGGAATCCGCGCACCGCAACAAAGAGCAGACCCCGCTCACCACAACTAGAGAAAGCCCACGCACAGCAACAAAGACCCAAAGCAGCCAAAAATAAAATAAATTATTTTTTTAAAAAAAATATCCAGACAGTAAATATGAATCATGACTCAAATTGAAAGCAAAATACAAAGAAAGCCCAAATCAAGAAAATGAGTGTGAGAAATCCAAATCCTAGAAGCTAATATTTACAGCAAATTCCGAAAGAGAGTATCTTTTGTATAAGCAATAGGTCCACAGACACTCAGCTTTATTGTATCCATTAAAAGATTCCCCCATATTGCACGTCATAAAAATAACTATCAACTTGGACTAAAATTTATCTAATAACTGAAACAAAATTTGTAAGTTACCTTTTCATATTTAATAAGGGCCAAAATGCTGAAACCAAAATGCAATTAACTTTCATACTTGTACCCACAGTACCATGTCAGGGAATGAAACCTAATTAAGTCTCAAATAAATGCCTTAAGGTCTGGTTGAGTAAAGACAGCCAAAAGCCAAGAAATTGGAACTGTAAAGAGAAATACTTGAGGTTCACCAAAGAAAATGTACTTTAAACCACCATGACTCAGCATGTAATGAATTTTGCTGTTGCTGTTGAACATTTCTTAAGACTCAAGTGTCCTAAGTACCCAGAATTGGCCTCTATTAGTCATAGGCAATCCTGCACACAATTCCTCAGATGAAGGAGATTCCAAGGAACCCTCTACAGTGATAGAAATTTAAGTATGCATGGAAATAGCAGACCAAGAAAATGTAATAGTCTTTGTACCTGAAAGAATAAATGAACAATGGGAAAATGCTAACCAAGATAAGAAAACCTTCAACTGAGTCAATATTAACTATTCTTACATAATATTAAGAAGTCCAGATTTTAGTACAAATTCTACATTAGAAAAAAATGTTTCTTACCTGAGACAGAGTAGACACACAGTTTTCTAGAATGCAACACAGCCAAATGAAGCATTTCAGTACCTCTGAAAAACAGGGAAAGTTTTAAAAGTTTAAATACTAGTTTCAGATGTAACCCAAAAAATGACAAAATGATTTTAAAACAAGACTTTAACCATAACCTATCATGAGTGAACTAAATAATTCAGTAGATAACATTCAAAGCTGAAAAATAAATTGAACAACAAGCAACCAGTTTGGCAATACCAGAGGCCCAAGGACTCTGCCTCAAGGAGCTGCCTTCACACTGAAACCAAGGGAGTCTCCCAGCAAAAGTCATATCGGAGGCGCCTTCAGGAGTGCTCTCCCACAATAAGGAGATCCACGTGGGACTTCCCTGGCAGTTCAGTGGTTAAGACTTCGTGTTTCCATTGCAGTGGGTGCGGGTACGATCCCTGGTTAGGGAACTAAGATCCCGCAAGCCACAGGGTGTGTGCGGAGGGGGAGACACACGCTCTGGTCCAGGCTTGAGCAAGTCACTTACACTCTCTAAGCCTATTTCCCCTTTTGGAAAATAAGAGGTTTAAATTAAATGAAATAAAAATCATGTGAAAGCACCTTGTAAAGTATAAAGCACTACAGAATGCTAATCATCATTGGCAAAAGGCATATATCACATGGAGGTCTGAAATTATACTAAAGGTATTGAAAATATTTCAGTTTGGTCTAAATCTCAAATAGAAATAAACAGCCACTGTCACCACTACACTTCCCAGCCCCTATCAAGTGGTTTCCAGAGACAAGGCACAATCTAGAAATCCCAAATTCAAAGTCTTCAAGGGTCAAGTCAGAAGATATAAGTGAATAAAGGGTGTAAATGGCTGTGATCAATTGGAGACTAGGGCCAGACTAAAGGAGGCAACGACTACTCAGCTCTGGGCTTGTGGCCAGATCTCCACATTCTTTTTCAAGAAAAGCCAGAATGCAGGGATTTTATGTGAAAATTTCTCGTTCCTAAATGTTGGCAATTCTTTTAAATTTAAAACTAATCTGCAAGCAGGCCTCAGATGTTCGACCTCTGATGCAGACTCTGTTCTAAACTGAAAGAACTATAATTGAAGTCTGAAGTCCTGGATTGGGATCTTGTCTTGGCACTTTGATATTTCTGTGATCATTTAATATTTCAGAGTGTGAGTTTCTCATTTATAAAACAAGAATTATATTAGATAATACCTGCAAAACATTGTTACAGTGAATATATACTCACCAACTCACTCTACTACCAGAAAATGAAAATATACACAACTATCACATAATCAAGACCGCCTTCAAAGATTTTTATATGTACTCTGTAATACTCAAAACAATTTTTCCATCATGCACAGGAAAAGGACATGATGTCATGGAAAGACAGTAAAGAATGGAGTCAGACAGACCTGGGCCTGAATGCTGGCTGTGTAACCTAAAGCTCTGAGCTCCAGCCAGTTTCCTTATCTCTAAACGCAGATCACATCTTACAGATAAGATTAATGAGATAGTACTAGTCAATTAATACTAGTACAGTATCATTAATGTTCACCTCCTCCCTTCCAACAAGTGATCGCATAGGTGAAAGCCACACTGCTGTGTAGAATGACTGTGACAGCATTCCACTTTTTTAAAAAATGAAAAGGTAAAAATGCGTTTTAGAGGCAAGAATTCTTTTGTCTCCTTACTTTACAAATCCATCATGTTTAATATGTGCTAGGTACACAGTGGGCACCTAATCATCATCAGCTTTTAGATGGAGTAGATATTCACCAGCCACGTCAACCATAAAATCCTGATCCAGCCTGTCACAGGGCATAAAAGTCCCATCTCATGTCCTGGCCTATAGCATCCACGAAGCAGCTTCCCATCCGAATGAATCGTGTTACCAGAAGAGGGTTAATGCTCAGGAGCAGTCTTTCAGGTTTTTCTAGTAGGAGTCAGGGCCCTGAACAAGTGGAACCTGGGGCCAATAAATCACGATGTGCAACTGGAGTGAGCCAAAATCCAGAGCTCAGGGCACTCCCAGACTTAAGACAGCAAAAGGGCGCTCAAAAAGAGAAGGTACGGGAAAACAAGGCCACCTCTGTCTACATAACACTTCACAATAGATACTTTTATAAATGATTAAGAAATACAGGCTTAATTTTAAGAAAATTCATGTATGAAAATAAGATAAAATCAGCAATATCATCAGTAAATAAAAAGCAGACGTATTACACAAAATGCAAAATAATAAACGGTGTTCTAAAATAAATTAGGTTTAAAAATAACGTAATTTGAACCAAAGACTTACTTTGTGGGGTGAGCTGTCTTCCTTTAAGAAACTAAGGACCTCTCTACCCCAAATAAGTAATTTGTTTCAAAGCTTCAAAGTTATGCACCAAATCACATAACTGCTATGATGTCTAATTTTTTTAAACAAACAGTTTGTTTAAAACTGGACAATTGGGGGCTTCCCTGGTGGCGCAGTGGTTGAGAGTCCGCCTGCCAATGCAGGGGACACGGGTTCGTGCCCCGGTCCGGGAAGATCCCACATGCCGCGGAGCGGCTAGGCCCGCGAGCCATGGCTGCTGAGCCTGCACATCCGGAGCCTGTGCTCCGCAACGGGAGAGGCCACAACAGTGAGAGGCCCACATGCCGCAAAAAAAAAAAACAAAACTGGACAATTAGTGCTTTAAGTGGTGAATACTTTCTATTTCTTTGGTTATTTTTCAAAAGCTTATCTCTTTTCCTTTAAGCTTCTGACACATCAGGCATCTTAGGTCTGTTGCTATAAAAAAGTCCTAAATTATTCTATCTTAAATGTACAGGTTTCCAAATTTTAAAATGTTCAGTACATGAGGACCACTTAGGTGATAATATACAGGAAATATATTTAATTCATAGTCTTTTTTTTTTTTTGAAGCATCCACAAAAGTGACATAGTAAAGGATTGACATACTCCAAGTATTAAGATAAAACACCAGAATTGGTGGGCTATACTTACGAAACAAACTTTCCTACTTCCACTTGCAGTATTGGATCTCGTAGATGCACTTCCAGAAGCAAATCTTCAGCTTGAGCTCCATCTCCTGTTTTTACAGGATGAGGATCAAAGATCCTTAGGTATCCCATAAAGCTACCCACAATTACTTTATCTGTAAAGAGATTTTTTTAAAGATATATAAAGAAAAAAACATTAGCAACAAAAATTTTTTAGAAATAAAATTTCCAGTGTCTAAAAGAGAAATCTAAAAATTAAAAGAATCCAGTTTTGCTTCATATACAAAAACCAATCTGCCAATAGAATATGTAATTAAAGTGAACTTATCTTAATAACACATAGCTTTTCAAAAATAGCTTTACATCACCAATATTCAAATGTACTAACATATTACATTTTTCTTAAGCCTTGATTTGGGGTCATAGCCATAATTTAACACAGTCAAAGCATGCCCTTTTAACAAAGGACCATTATCAGGTTGTAAGCTGATTTCGCCATAGAGTGTCAACTCTACACCTGGTTTTGGCTGTTGAAAACACCGTATTAACTCAGTGTAAAAACACTGACGCCTCATTAGACAGAGTGCTCTGATTTACAATTTCTAACCTTGGGTACAAAAGGAGGAAATGGTAGGATAGGTATTATGGGTTGAATTGTGTCCCCCAAAAAGATATATGTTGAAGTCCTAACCCCCAGTACCTGTGACTTTATTTGGAAACAGGGTCTTTGCAGATGTAATCAAGTTACGATGAGGTCACACTCAATTAGGTAAGTGATAGGACTCAATTAGTATCCTTATAAGAAGAGAAAACAGAGACAGGAGTGGGGAGAGGAGAATGCCACGTGAAGACATAGAGACAAGCAAGGAGAAGATGATCATGTGACAACAGAGGCAGAGATTGGAGTGATACATCTACAAGCCAAAGAATGCCTGGCGCTATCAGAAACTGAAAGAGGCAAAAAAGGATCCTAGAGGCTTCAGAGGTAGCATAGTCCTGCCAACACCTTGATTTGGACTTCTAGTCTCCAGAACCGTGACAGAATAAATTTGTTTTATGCCAGCCAATTTGTGGTACTTTGTTATGGCATTCCTAGGAAACTAATACTTTGGGTTGTTTGAAATCCCTGGATTAGTAGAATACATTGACTTTTTTTCTATCAGCTTAAAAGAAGGAGTTCTACACATTTATTGAGAGTTTATTAGGTGCCAGGCAATGGTCTAAGTAGCTTATATATACTAACTCATTAAATCCTCATAATAACCCTATGAGAGAGGTACTATCCTAGGAATTTCAATCCTGAATAGAGACACACATGTCATTAAGAATCTGGTGCTACTATTCAAAATACCCAAGACATGGAAACAACCTAAATGTTCATCAACAGATGAATGGATAAAGAAGATGTGGTACATATATACAATGGACTACTACTTAGCCATAATAAAGAATGGATTAATGCCATCTGCAGCAACGTGGATGGACCTAGAGATTATCATACTAAGTGAAGACAAATACCATATGATATCACTGATATGTGGAATATAAAATGTGACGCAAATGAACTTATTTACAAAACAAATAGACTTGTGGTTGCCAAGGGGGAGGAGGAATGGGGGAGGGGTGAATTGGGAGTTTAGGACTAGCAGATGCAAACTATTATATATAGAATGGATAAACAACAAGGTCCTACTCTATAGCACAGGGAACAGCATTCAATACCCTGTGATAAACCATAATGGAAAAGAATATGAAAAAGAATGTATATATATATATACACACACATACATACATATATATACATATATATATATATATATAGCTGAATCACTTTGCTGTACAGCAGAAATTAACACAACATTGTAAATCAACTATACTTCAATTAAAAAAAAGAAATGAATCTGGTGCTATGATCTGATGGCAGCCTCAGAGGTCTACAAGGTCTCTGGAAACATACTGGTTCCTGTCTCTGACTAAAGCTTGGCCAAATGAACTCTTCCTGCATTCAGGAGAGCTATGTCACTCTCATTCCAATCTCTCTTTTATTTGCATTTATCATAATTTTTTCCTGTCACTTTGTGGCAAAAAAATAAAATAAGATGTTAATTGATATAAAGATTAGCACCAGTGAATAAACTACAGACACCAATTCCTGCAGGGATATTTGGAAATTGGTTGTTGAGCTAAGTTGGGGCACAAAGCATTAAAACTCCTGTTCATATTCTAGGTGGGGTTAAATAGCATTGTACACAGTGACAGAACAGTTAAACAAGTTAACACCTCCAAGCATCTGGAACACTGTGCCCATTGCAGGTGACACTCTAGTGAACTGAACAGCTGCTGCCAAATGAACAGGAAGGAGGAATGCCAAACCATACATAAGATGGCTTTTTCTAAGGGCACTGGATAATTTAAAGTAAGAGAATGATAGGTTTAAATCTCAAATTTCTCATCTCAGGGTAAAGAATAAAACTCAGGGTCTTTGGGAGTCTGCAGAATTTCCTACCTCTTTTAGCAGGGGGCTTAACCCCTAAGAATCTAGTTCAGGGATTAACTCTATAGGTTTTAAATTGCAGTGACAAATGAGTTCAGTCTCTCCAGGTTTCTTGCATAAAAGTAAAGACATTGATCAGAAAGAATGGGACTCAACTTCAACAAAGCCCTATCCTCAGGGGTAAGAGGAAACCAGGATGGCCAAGTCCACGTGGTGACAATTTAACCCCTAGAATTAAAATGTGTATGTATGATTATTAAAATAGACAGCGGGACTATTATAGTAACCAGATCTCAGGTAACAGTCTAACTATCACAGATTACAAGCTATAATTAATTAATATGGGATCCCCAGGGATGGAACAAACAGGCAATGCATTAAGGCCCTTTATCTCAGTGATTCATTTCTTTTTATTATTGAGTAGTATTTAATTGTAACAATGTACTATAGTGTGTTTATCAAATTAAGGCCTTTTCTGAAGTCTAAAGCCAAAAGTAATCCAGGTCTATGGAAAAGAGGACTAACTCAAGCCACCATATTAGACAGTCATGGCATAGCACTGATCCCCATACTTAAGTCAATTTATAGACTGAGTCACTTGAACAAAGACAAGGTTATGTATAGACTGCTGTAACACCACCCATGCCTAATATGATTCTTCCCTATTGGACCAGTAGTCATTTATCCAAGTGTACTGAGGAAAGGTATATACCCAACCTTTATGAGAACACTTGAATATTGGCTCTAAATTACTGCTAATTCTGGAAGCCCAGGAAGATACTATTGTTGCCAATTATGGAGATCCCATGATAAATGAACTTCCTAACTCAGTTCACTCAGTGGGAAAGCAAAGCCAACCTATGATTTCTCACCCAGCATCTGAGAGCTTAAAGGAAATGTATTTCCATAGAAAACGGTAGAGTATCCACTTGGTTCTCTAACATGCAGAGTGAGGGATATTATATTGAAAGGACTATATGGAAGCCAGTGGAACTCCATCTCTCCAACAGGGAGAAAATCAAAATCAATACCACTCCTAAGCCTGATTTGGGGTGGTTTCCAAAATTTAATTCCAAAACACTTAACTTTGTAATATGTGATCATTCCTATCAAAGTCCTGTTTAATAACCAGGTTTGCAGGTATCAAAGTCTAATTAATAGGTCTTATAGAGTTGATCAGTATAACTTAAATGGTAACTCTGAATTCTTCTGTTATTCCACAAATTATTTTTTCTTGGAGCGAACTAATACATCCCATCTGCTTGAGTACAGTTCTAAAGCTTAGTAATGCATTTTCTCCTTTCCAATGCACAGAGACCAACAGAAATGATTGGCTTTCACCTGACAGGAGCAGCAGTATACCTTTACATGTACACCCACAATCCAATCTGCAGGAACCAGGACTACCTCACCATCTCATAAAGGCTGAACGGGGCTGAAAGAAATATGAGTGAAACCCAGGGATCCCCATGGGCCCTTCCTGTACTGTCTGGATCAGTAGTAAATGGAATTACTATAATCCTCTTTAGGCAAGCATCAGTGTTCTAGATCCCCCAGGAATGAAGAGGCCTAGACTACAGCCAGGTGACCAGTTGCAAAACAAAAGGATGTAGCTCCCAACATGACTTCTTCAAGTTGCCGTACAATTTTTCCTGCTTCTTCATCTTAACTTTTAAGTTTTTCCTTCTCTTCTTCTTTTCCTTAACTATTATATATTAGGTTGTGAACACGGATTGTATGTACCAATTATTCTAGAGGAAGCAGAATATTGGAACATGATCATGACTGAATGACAAACGAAATCCTAGATTTGAAGAGCCAGAGCTCCCTGAAAGAGCCTCTGAAGCAGCAGGTGCATGCACTTATCTCCCGTGGCAGATGGGTAAGAATATGTGTATGTTCAGTTGTACAAGGGAGAATTGCCCCATGTAAGGTATAAATGCTGAGAAGCTAAAAGATAAATATAAGAACTATTTTTTAGTCTGCCTTATATAATGTGTTTTTAACTCTGATTCTTGTAATAAACACTCCCTCCAGGTTATATGTTAGCATGTAATCTAAGCTGAACCATTCAGATTCTCTCAAGATTAATGAGGAATCCTTCTTCTATGAATCAAGTAAGCTTCACCTAAAGCAATTTCAAGATGCCTAATACTATCCTTTCACTCTCGGATCACTTCAGAGAAAGTAGGGATCAACTGGCATTATTGTCTCAACTTCCCAAACTGACCTGCAAACTTCTCTTCATCTATGTCCATTCTTACCTTCTTACCTTCTATCACAGTGAAAAAAATTCTCAAACCTGTTTAAAGTTAACCCTTCCATCTGCATACTTGATCCCACCTCCAACTGTCTTCTCTGGATCCCTGCTTTATCAATTATATCCTCTATGCTACACACTGAATTTTTCCCATTTCTTTTTACCCTACACTGTCCCCAGTCATCATTCTCCCTTCTTCCCTTCACAGCTCTTCCTTTAAAGGGCCATAAACACTCAGTTTTCCCCACCTCTAACTCCTTCACTCTCTGCAAATCTAGATTTTGTTACCATTGTGTCCATTCATCCACCCTCACCAAGGATACTAACAAACCACTTGCTGCAAAACAATATGGAAATTTAAAAATCAGTCTTCACGTCACTAAATCTTGCCTCCCAGGTATCAGCACAACTGGTTCTCCTGCCTCTCTGCCTGCCCTTCTCAGAATCTATTACTGACTACCTGTCCCAAAGCTCCTCCCTTAATGCTCACATTTTCCAGGTTATGGTCCTAAGGTTCCTTCCCTCTTGTTCCATCTTCTCTCTCAGTGTATTTGCACCCATTCCCAGGGCTTCAAATACAACCAGCGTACTGCTCACTCCCAAATCTCTACCTCGATTCTGCCTACCAGACACTTCTGTTTCAAACAGAGCATGTCCGAAGCTGCTCTCACTAAACTTGCACTCCATAAGATCAACAGTAATAATTCTTAAACTTTAGTGTGCCACCATTCAACTTTGGAGCTTGTCAAAATGCAGATACCTAAGCCCCCGTCCAATCCATCTACCCCCCAGAGAATATGATCTTAGAAGATCTTGTACATCTGGGATAGAAAATCTTCATATATAATAATCACCCCAGAACATTATGATGTAGGTTGTCCAGGCTTTGAGAAATAATGATCAGTGGTTTTTTTCTATGTGGAACATACACACACAGAGAATGATTTTTGTATAGCATGCTTGGGAAAACAGAGGAAGCTGCTCACAGCTGGATGTAAATAGGGGGGATGAAACATCTCAGCATATTGGTAACCCACTGGTGGCACCCCAGTGAGGAGCTCTAATAGAAATGATGAGTGAACACTATGTTATTCAGATAATCAGTAAGTACAGTTTCCAACCAAGTTGAGCTTTAAATAGTTTGGGCAGAGGTGGGTTTGAAATTGTTTCTCTCTGGCAGGTATTTTTGTGGTATGACTCTTCTGTGCTACCAAATTATAGGGGAATCATAAATTTTAACGAACAGTTGGGCAGGAGGCAGGGTTGATAATCTTTGAAAAACAGCTCAGGACACCTTATGAATAGAAGACCTTCGCCTCTCCTATCAGTAGGAGGGCAGGGCCCAGATTTTCCTTAGAAACAGTTTAGTAGGTGCTCAGAACAGTTTAGTGCCTCCCACTCTTCTTTGCCAATATAATTTTCTCCTTTCACTTTATCCCCCAAATTCTACTGTTTTAATTATAGGCAAGATAAATAGAATAAAGAAAAATGTAAGGGGACAATGTTTATATACAATGAACACAAGAAAAATTATTATAATAAGTTTTCTTTTTAAGAGGCCAGTGACTATCTGAATTACAAAAAAAAAGTTCATGACTATAAATCACTGAAACCAAATATTAATTTCAAGTAGCAATAATACAGAACTAAAATGTTTTAAAGACCACTTATATGAAGATGCAAAGAGGAGCAAATAATATAAGAATAAAATAGAATATTGTTTCTAGTTTCAAAATATAAAAATGAAAGCAATGATTTAACAATTGTTTTCTACAAACAAATAGAGCTAACATAATTTCTCCATTCTGGTAAATGGCTTTCAAATTCTCTTTTAAAAGAATATAATTTTTCTTGCAGCTTCTACAAAAGAAAAATTTTCAAAATTCAAAATATTTTACCAGCTCTACCCTATGAAACCTGATTTTGCAACAAATAAAAACAAATTAAATGATGCCTTATAATATTTTTCTGAGTTCCAGCAAATAATATGACATAATCAACACAAACCAGAAAAACACAAACAACAAAACATAAGTAATAACTACATTTATCAGCCTGCTACTTAAATATTACTTATAAGGAAAACTACCTTAAAAACTAGGGCACAGTCATGACAGTTCACCTAAGTTCCATAAAGTACACATTAAAAAAAAGAAGTCGTTTTTATTCCACCCCTATAAAATGCTTTGCTCCAAGATGCTTGGTCATAAGTTGTTTACCTTGTCCATTTCCAGTATTGTCAACATCAGCCAAACACAAACAGCCTTGATCAAATTCTTCTTTTTCTCCCAGAACAGTAGACCACCAATCACGGGCTTTAAATAAAGACATTTTCGTTCGCTCTAAAAAGAAAGCATTTATTTATAATAAAAATCCACTTCACAAAAAAAAATCCACTTCACACCATGATTTATGAAATAATTAACTCTTTTTTGTTGTTGTTGTTCTGAATTAATTAACTTTTAAGGCATACATAGCAAACTAAAGTTAGACAACTTTGAGAAAAAACATTGTATTAAACTCTAATTTTTTGTATTTTGTGGATATATGTGAAACCACAAATCCAAGTGAGTGGAAACATTAATCAGATATTTTGCAATGCCATCAGAAAGTCAAGCTGAGAAATTATACATTTATGTTGGGTCAATTCTCTCTTCTGGGACATTTAGTAGACAACTGTACAAAGTAACAAACATATTCTTTGGAGGATCAAGATTCAAATTCTACCAGAATTAGTTAGCACATAATTCCTAGGCATAACACCTAATTTCCCTTCACTTTGGTCGTTAAAAAGACTGCAGCAGGGGCTTCCCTGGTGGCGCAGTGGTTGAGAGTTCGCCTGCCAATGCAGGGGACACGGGTTCGTGCCCCGGTCCTGGAAGATCCCACATGCCGCGGAGCGGCTGGGCCCGTGAGCCATGGCCGTGGAGCCTGCGCGTCCGGAGCCTGTGCTCCGCAACGGGAGAGGCCACAACAGTGAGAGGCCCGTATAAAAAAAAAAAAAAAAAAAAAAAAAAAAAAAAAATGACAAGTTTAAAAAAACAAACAATGGGGGAAAAAAAGAAAACTCCATCTTTAAACAAACAACAGGGGGAAAAAAGAAAGAAAACTCCATCTAAGGCCCTCTCTTTATGCTGAAAAGGAAAGTAGTCAGGTAAAGGCAAGGTGTTGATGAAAGTGAAGGAAAAATACATAGCAGGTAAATAAACTTATGAGTTTTAACATGTGGGAGAGTTTCTGAAAAACATCTGCATCAGCTGTTATTAATAATGGCACTATGTAACCATACAAATTGCCAGATGACTAAACTTCCAATCTCACAGCAAGTATTCAAAAATGTAATAAACACTCCTATTATACTTTTATTGGACTTTTTTAATTTGAGAGGGAAGTAACAGTACTTAATAAATACCATATATTCTCATTATGTACTCGAGATACATTGGAAAATTAAAATACACCATACCATTGGACTGCCGCAATGAAGATGCGTCATTCTCTTGCAGCACAGGGCAGAATACTACCCAAATTCAATACCATTCAATGATTCACTAGGAGGACTCACAGTGCTATAGTCATCATATAGTCATCATCATAGCTATGATTACTCAAAAGGATAAAAAGCATAATCAGGAAAGGGAAAAAGTGCATGTATCTGTAGTTTGAATATAAACACACATGACTGCATCAGATGAAAATAGCTATTATGTGAAAATGGCCTTAAAAACCTTTGTTACTGAACAAATTTTTTCAGTTTGCTAGAATAATGGGGGGAAAAACACTCCAATATGAAAAACTAACTCTCCAACATGGTGTGTAAATGGAACTGTTCTACATCAAGCACTAATTTCTCATGGACTTCTATCATAAAATTTAATATCTATTCCTAGTAACAAAATACCACTGGCAACATTTATTTCCTTCCTGTTTCTCCTGCTCTATCAATTTCTCCTTAGTCACCTACCACTTCATTAGCTTCTGAAAGCCCTCCTTTCCTAGATTGTTCAGCTCCTTGCTACCCAAAGTGTAGTACCTGGACCAGCAGGTCAGCATCACCCAAGAGCTTGTGAGAAATGCAGAATCTCAACCCCACCCCAAACAAGATCCCCAAGTGATTCACATGCACCTTAAAATTTGAAAAGCACTAGTTGCACAGACACCTGATAGTCTAAGTGGATGTTTTCTTATAGCAATGCTCTACTTCTCTTCCTTTTTCCTGTGACCTCTGTCACCAGTTAGTAACCTTTCCAAAGTTTGAAAAAAAGACTCACTTTTAAAATCAAGAGCTTCAACAGCTAGAAGGTACCCATCAATCAGCTGGTCTTCTCATTCTGTAGATTATAATGACTCCCCTAAAGTACACAGCTAATGGCAGAAACTTGCTTCTGCATACCCTGTCCCTACTCTAGACCCTTGTATTATTAGGCTGTCACTGCCTGCAATTTAATATCCAAAACACTGAAAAAGCATGGGTCAGTAGAGGGATTTTTTTTGGTTTCGCTTTGTTTTAATTTTTAAAAGGTTGGGGGAGGGGTTGCTAATTTCAAACCTAGGTCCAACAAATCGCTCTTCCTCACAAGACCACAGCTGCTTCATTTCAGACCAACTTACTTTCATACCAGGGCAAAACATAAGCTAATACATAGCAGAACTGCATAAATTCCATTATGCCAAAATTCTGCATACTGGTTCCCCCATGACCCAGGTGTTAACATTTACCATGGTGGACAATAAGTTATTGAATAACGTCTTACATCTTTGAAAAATTAGTGAACGATAGGAAAACCAACAATTTGGGCTGATGGTCAGTAGTATGTTTCCCAGTGCCTCTCTCTCCAATTTCAAAGGCAGAAGCAGAGGAAGGTGCACTGCCCACTCCCAAGAAATTAAGAAACCACAAACCCTCATTTGTGCAATTTGTACATCATTAATTTCCTTTTCTAAAAATTGATGTATTTTTAAATGACAGCGTAAGATACAAGGCAAAAGGTTTCAAAGGGGAGTTCTTTTCCACTTTGGCTTCAAAGATGGATTTGATAGCAAGTCTGAACAATTTAAGGTTGCTGGATATCCCTGTTTATCTGAGAAAAAAAAAAAAAGCTTAATCCTTTGGCTTGAACAAATAAAACACACCTACAAAAAATTTCTCTTCGCACACAGCAGTTGTGTTCCTAATAAGCTTATATATAATCACTTTTATACTTGCTCTTAAATATAAGTCTTACAGACACTGGAGCACCTTGATATCTAATGGAACTCTGATGAAATCTTTTGATAATATAGATATTTCTCCCATAACCATATGCTAAGCAATTTAAGGTTTCAGAGAATTCCACTTTTCAGCGTGACATGTGAGAAGCTCCACTGGCCCACTTCCCAGTGAAACTGAAAATTATTTTTTAAAACAACCATTTCAAGTCTCTGGAAATTGTCCTAAGAGCATACAACAAATAAAGAAACATTAAAAATCTAAAACTCAGTAAGAACAGTAAGAGTTTGTAGTATTTAAACTACAACTCACTCCTCTCCATACTCCTAGCTCAGCAAGATGGAAACTGCACTCCAGATTAGTACAGCCAAGAACCCTCTCCCCACAGCTCCCAATCAGAGAACTACTTTCCCAGGAAGGGCAGGACATCAGCATTATTTGTCCTGCTCCCAACTATCTGTTGCGGACTACAGAAGAAACTGAAAATCTAAATAAACCTATAACAAGTAAAGAGATTGAATTAGTAATCAAAAAACTATCCACACACACAAAAAAAGACTAGGCTCAAATAAAAAGAAAAAAAGAAAAGACTAGGCTCAGATGGTAAATTCTACCAAATATTTTTTTTTAATTAACATCAATTGTTCACTAACCTCTCCAAAAAATAAAAGAGGAGGGATCACTTCCCAACTCATTCTATGAAGCTAGTGTACATTGATACCAAAATTAGACAAATACAAGAAAAGAAAACTACAGACCAATATCTCTTACAAATATATATGTAAAAATCCTCAACACAACACTAGCAAAGTGAATCAAGCAATATACTAAAGGAATTATACACCATGGCCAAGTGCAATTTACCCCAGGAATACAATGTTAGTTTAACACCCAAAATTAATTAAGGAAATATACCAAAGCAATAAAATAAAAATCAAAAACCACCTAATCATGTCAACAGAGTCAGAAAAAGCATTTGACAAAATCCAAAACTTCCATTGTAAAAACACTTGATGGAAGAAATGTTCACATAATGAGGTATGGGGAAGTCATTCTGGCTTATATATGATTTAATGTAAACTTTATGCTAACTAGAACAGCCTGTCTCACGGCCTGTCAAACATGCATTGTACATCTGCTCAAACATGCATTGTACACCTGCTTTAACCATTAAAGAAAAGAGTGCATTTAAAAATCAAAATGGAGGGACTTCCCTGGTGGCGCAGTGGTTGAGAATCCACCTGCCAATGCAGAGGACACGGGTTCGATCCCTGGGCCGGGAAGATCCCACATGCCGCGGAACAACTAAGCCCCTGCGCCACAACTACTGAGCCTGCGCTCTAGAGCCCACGTGCCACAACTGCTGAAACCCGTGTGCCTAGAGGCTGTCCCCCACAACAAGAGAAGCCACCACAATGAGAAACCTGCGCACCGCAACGAAGAGTAGCCCCCACTCACAACCTAGAGAAAGCCTGTGTGCAGCAAAGAAGACCCAACGCAGCCAAAAATAAGTAAATAAATAAATTTATTTTTTTAATTGGCATGTTTAGTAAAAAAAAAAAACAAAACAAAAAACACAATCAAACAAAAAAACTCCAGGAAACTGGAGTCGATTGCAGGAACTGATTGGGAAAGGAAGATGCTAATAATATCACCTCAGCTCATCGAAACTGCTGTGGTCTGCAAGGTAAAGGGAGAAGGAGAAGCAATAATCCTATTGCAAGAAGGAATTAGGGGGTATTAGTACATGCATCCTACTTCAGTCATAGGATGGGAACTGCTTTGACCATTTGCTCACAAGACCTGTTGAAGTGTCACAGGAGGAAAACGCTTGTGCACCACGTGACATTCCTGAAAGGAATCTCTAAAAATTCTTATCACCCTTTCTCAAAAATGTTCACAGGATCACACACACACATTGTTCTGGCAGTTTCGTTTTGTTTTGTTTTGAATGCAAGCATCCTTCATAAGAAACCTATCACCCTATATCCCCCAAATTATATGGCATCAGAGAATCAATCTGACTAAAAAATAAAACACTGAAAGGGCATTCATGCACCCGATGTTTAATTCTAGACATACTTTCTTACCCGATGCCGAGTCAGGTGGGTCCTGCCCCACCTTTCTTCGAACTCTCCTTCCACCGATTTCCCTTTAAGAACGTCTGCCAGGATTCCAGGGCTGGAACGACGAGCAAGAACGGACGGTGCAGGAAAAAGCAACCCTTACTTCTCCCTCTCGTTCTCCTGATCCAACTTGTTTCACGTCCCAGGCAAAGACAGCGCCTCACCAGCTGGCACCACCAGCTCCACGGAGCTGGAGCGATCCCACCAAGTAGCTCTCCTGCATCCCCTCTCTGTCACCCTCAGAGACAAGCAGGAAAAACGGCATCAATCCCGTTGCAGATATCAGGCAGGAAAGAACAGCGGTAAGACCTGCTGCTCACAAAGAGGAGGAAATGATGAAGGAGGCAGTGAGTGGGATATAGCAGAAAAAGGACAGCAGCGGCGGAAGGGACACCTACCCACTCAAGCCTAACTCCAAGCCATCTCCGCCCTGTTGTCATAGCACTTTACAACGAACGCTACTGCGCAAGTCAGATAGCTGAGCCCCGATGCCTTCTGGGGGTTGTAGTCCTGAGTGTCAGGAGAGAGGAAGGCGGAGGATTTTTTTCTGAGTGATGTTTGGAATCAGATTTCTACTGGGCGGAGCTAGAATGAACTACTGCCCGGTCTTCATTAGCAGAGAAAGAGAGAGAATTAATTCGACTCCCCTTTTCTGTTCTTATACAGTTCCTTAGACGCGGGTTCTGAGGAAGACCCACCTCCCGCTCCCCGGCGGGGACGCAAGCCATGCCCCTCCCACTCCTTTCTCAGTTCCCGCCGCTCGTGGGTGGGGCTTTCCTAGGAGGCGGGGCTCGGGCGGCGCGGGGCGGGGCGTCTGGGTTGGTCTCTGGGGCGGAGCATCCGAGGCCCGAGCCACCCAGCGACCTCTTCTCTTGATCCGGAGGCGCAGGAGGCCCCGTCCATGGACCAAGCGGCCATGGCGAGGGTGAGCGCGGTAGCAAGCGCCAGTGTGTGCGCCCTGGTGGCTGGGGTGCTGCTGACCCAGTACATTGTTACCTTGAAGAGGAAGGAATATGAACTGTGCGTAGGACACCCGGAACGTGCTGTTCTATAACAACAGCGCTGGAAAAACACTACCTGATTGCTTTCCCTTGGTTTTCTTCTTGATTCTGTAGACCAACTTCTTTCTGCAACACAATTACATTTTCTTTGTTTGTAAATCACAGCTTCCAAAGACTATATCCTCCTTCTTGACTGGATTTGGATGTCTTATAAGATATCATACAGGTCATTTATTGGCCCAGGTAACTTCCATCGTTATCGAGCGCAAGTTTGTGTGCCCGACACACAGTGAGGCCAAACAAACGCAAATGTTGGAGCTTGGAGCAGAGAAAGGTTTATCGCAAGGCCATGCCAGGAGAACTGGTTGCTCATGCTCAAAAAAAAAAAAACCCTGAACTCTCTGAAGAGTTTCACCAAAGCAGTTTTAAAGGCAAGGTGAGGGAGGGGCGTCCCAGGGTATGTGATCAGCTACTGCACAACTCTCTGATTGGTTGATGTTGAGGTAACTGGGTGGTTAATCTAACATTATCAATCCTTAGGTGCCAGAAGGTCTGGGGGCTGGGGCTCATGATCATCAAGTAGTTAATTTCTTCCACTTGTGGTTTTTACCAAATGAAAAACTCAGGAAATATGCATGAGATACTATTATCTGGGTACTTCCAACAGGAGCTATAGCAGAGTATATGGGGGAGGGGTCTATCCCGAAAGGCCCCCACAGGGTCCTGATCTGTTACACATGAATGGCTGAATCATACATTCATGCAACAATTTTAATTGGCTTCATTCTTAGAGGAAGAGGTCATTTCCAAGTTCCAGAACATATATCAGCATAATTTCACATGTCTGTGCATAGCTTCTGTGTGTTTGTGTTTTCTTGAATAAATTTGAAAGAGCTCTTCACTTTGGGTTATTAACAACTGAATATTTTGGCAAGCATTTCCCTTATGCAGTTATTTTTAATTCCTCTGCAGCTTCTTCCATTATTTCAAGGCTGAAAAAATTATATATCAGATACAGTTTCAAAGCACAACCTAGTTAAGCACCTTACAGTTTTGCATCCTGGCTCCATGACCTACTAGTTCTGTTTCCTTGGGCATGTCAGTTAACTCTCTGGGCCTCATTATCTGTAAAACAAGGATAATACACATGGGTATTACGTACAGCACTTATTACGATTTTAAAAATTAAATCAACTCCCATTAAGGGCTTAGCTCAATGACCGCATAAAAAGTGCACAGTGTATATTAGCTTTTCTTTTCCATAACCCAAACCTTATCTGAATACAGTATACTACACTGACTATACATAGCATGGATCACATGTTCTGGAAAATTGGAGAATTTCTGTGGAAGCCTTGCTTTCTTCCAAAACTGGATGAATCCTACTAACATGTAACGAGCAGCTCCTGTACGCCTAGACACTGGGGGAATACGAAAATTACTTGCACAGGTTTCCCGGCCTCCAGGGACGAAGATCTCGAGGGGAGGCGCCCGACCCGGAGAGGGGCTCAGCCACGCGCAGAACTGGCTCAGGGTCCCGACAGAGCGTCCTCAGCACCGAGACTCCTGGACGCCGCCAGGGGGCGCGCTCCGGCCTCCGGCACCAGCCGACCTGACTGCAGGACCCGGCGCTCCGATCAACAACTTGAGGCCGCGGTGGCCTTCGGGCTGCACGGTGCAGGCGGCCGCAGAGCGGACACCCGGCTCGGCCCGGCGGGACGCGGAGCGGCAGCGGGAGGGGGCGCTGCGGGGCTAGGCGTGCGCAGCGCAGAGGAAGTACCGTCTTCGCCGCGCCGGCCGCCTCAGCCGCGCCGCACGGGGCCGCTTCAGCCGCGCCGCGCGGGGCCGCGATGTCGTCCGGACACGGGCGCGACGACGCGGGGGCAGGGGGCGCGCGGCGGCCGCGGGAGCCTCCGGAGCAAGAGCTGCAGCGCCGCCGGGAGCAGAGGCGGCGGCGGCACGACGCGCAGCAGCTGCAGCAGCTCAAGCACCTGGAGTCCTTGTGAGTCCGTCACGCCCGCCCCCGACTAATGCGAGGAATGGGGTCGGGGCCCGGGGTCGCGCGGCGGGGCCCGCCCGGCGTTGGAGACCTGCGAGTGGGCAGGTGGGCCCGTCCCCAGCGAGCCGGGTGCGGGTTTTGATCCCGGGCTGCGGGACGCTGGACTCTCAGCCTTTGGAGGAAGAGGGGGGAGGCTCCATCCCCAGGCTCGTCCCGGGCGCGCGAGGCGGCGGCGGGCGGGCGCTTCTCCGCCGGAAACGACGGTTTTATTCCTCGTGCGGCGACGTCGGTGTCGGTCAGGATTTGAATACGGGAGAAGTGCGGCTGCGCCCTTGGGTCCTTTCCCGTTTCTCAGTTCAAGGGGCTCGCTTTGAACTGGGTAAAATCCCTATTCTTTTCATTTAGTGCTGTTAACTAGGGAGGAAAAAGCCCAGTCCCGTAACATGAGTGCGCGGTGAGGAAGGGAAGAATAAACGTGGGGTGAGGGCCTGGTCCCTGACTCTTCGGGAGGAGCTGTCAGGTAGAAGAGAGCGTGGACTTCTCTCTCGTCCCCAGGATTTTTTTTACCAGGGTTAAGGGTGGAAGCTACAAAGAGGTCAGTTCCAGCTCAACAAGAAGAATTAGGACTAGAGTCATAGATTCTTGCTGGTCAGCGTGGCCTGACCTAGGAGGCACTGTACTCCCCCAGCTACCCGGGAGAGAGTCCAGATAACCCCTGAGAGAAGGGTTGGTTGTAAAGGAGATTTAAACATCAGGTGGAAGGTTGGATTAATGACCCTTGCGGTTCTTTTCTGTGTTTCTGTCGTTCTGTAATCAGCTTTAGAAGTCTGATTTTACTAAGTTTGGTGTTCACTGAGTTATCTGAATTATTTGTTTTAGGCACTTCCCATTACCTACCTTCTCATGATTGCTGAGACAGCATGAAAAGCTCTTAAAGGGTTAATCCTTCATTATTAACCGCTGGGAGCTTTGGCACAAAATGCATACTTCCTCGTAGCCTGGCCTGCTCTTTTCAGTGTGGCTCTTGAGCTGAATTTCATTTCAGTGGGCAGTGGTTGTGGATTGCTGGCATCCACGGTCCTGGCCCCTTCAGGGCACTCTGGGAGGCTCTTTGTTGCCTGTGCAAGGCCGATGTTGAACAGCATTTCCCTAGGATAAGTTCAGGCAGGGCTCAGCCGCCCTACCCCACCCCCTAGCCCTCAGTATCCTAACTGTAGGATGCCACATAGTTGTTAATACTCTACATTTATTTTGTAGCTCAGAGCGCACTCACAGACATCCTTTTATAACCTCCTTTTGCACATGAGAAAATGCAGGTTCAGCAGTTAAGTAACCTGATAAAGCACACACGGAACTGTAAACTAACAAAACTAAAGAGAAACCGGGGTGTCTGATTCTCAGACCAGTGGGATTTTTCAGTTCAGAGATTTTAAAAGTTCTGGGCTGTTGACATATTTATAGTTTGGCTAGTTCAGAGGCTTCTTTCCTTTTAAATGGAAGTCTGTATTTCCAGAATAATACTTCAACGTAGTTTAAACATCAAATAGTATGAAAAGTCTAATTTCAAAAAATAGTGGTTTGTATCTCTACTCACACTCCCTGTTCCTTTCCCTCCAACCAAGGCTTCAATGGGGAAACTTAATTTTTTCTCTGGGATTTAACTATTTCTGAATTATATGCTTTTACTGCTTTTTTTCGATTGAATAGTAAATGTTACCTATTAAGCTCATGTTATAGTAGATGAGGGTTTAGTTCTCTTTCCCTTCCTTTCTTGTCTCCAGCCTTGTATCTCCTCTCAGGATTTCTGTGTGGCTTCTAACCTTTTTTTATTTCTTTAATTGTCATTTTAAGAGAGTCTGGGAAAGGAAGACAGATAAGTAAGTTGGTCAACCAGGCATGTTAAGTTCCACTGTGGTTTTTTACAAATGGAATTCAAATCCTTTTGCCACCTGGTATGCCCTCTTTAGTTACCCTCACACTCCTCTGGTCATTTTCTTAAACCTGATCTTAATTTTTCTTACTCTTACCACACCTGTCAGGCCCCCAAAGGCATCTGAGTCTTCCACACATGCTCCTGTCCATTTTCCAGCTCTGTCACTCAAGTGCTCCTGGGCTACTGGGCATAACAGAATGGACATTTTGAGTATATGTGGAGTTTCATCTCTGCCTTCCAGCCCCCATAGGGCCAGGCTACAGGAACAACTGGGATGGAGTATGCTTACGTGAAGGACTCTTCCAAAAGAAATCCTACCCCGACACTCAAATACACAAAGAGTATTATTACGTACTTGGCAAAATAAAGATTTTTTTGTCCCATGCCTATTTAGGAGATAATCTCTTATCAAAATTTATCTTAATTTAGTCTTCATACTGCCCAGGGCAACCTGTCACAATCTGAATGATATAATGACAAGGATTTACAGATGGCACAAAATAATGGGCCTCCACTAACTTTTTTTTTTTTTTTTTGAGGATTTATTACAAAGATAATGCACAGCTGTCACAGCACAGAAGCCAAGCTACTCAGTAAACACACTCCGATTCTCATTTCCAAATCTGTTATTTTCAATAGTTAAATATTACCTTAATCTTTGAGAAATATCTTTTTAACATGCTACCTAAACTAATGAATTATTTAGCCCTAGGAAAAAAATCAACCACATTCCTTTACACTTGTGGAAACAGTTCTAAAATGGACTTTTTTAGGGAAGTCCATTGCTAATAATAACAGATTTCAAAATGTGCAGCTCCACGGGCTTCCCTGGTGGCGCAGTGGTTGAGAATCTGCTTGCCAATGCAGGGGACACGGGTTTGAGCCCTGGTCTGGGAAGATCCCACATGCTGCGGAGCAACTGGGCCCGTGAGCCACAACTACTGAGCCTGCGTGTCTGGAGCCTGCGCTCCGCAACAAGAGAGGCCGCAACAGTGAGAGGCCCATGCACCGCCATGAAGAGTGGCCCCCACTCGCCGCAACTAGAGAAAGCCCTTGCACAGAAACGAAGACCCAACACAGCCAAAATATAAAAATAAATTAAAAAATAAAAATAAAAAAGAAATGTTCAGTTCCATCAATTTTTTTTCTATCTAGGCAAAAACATTTACATATTTTTGAGGAATTCAGATAGTTTGACCATGTTATTTATACAACTCCTATGGCAAAAATAAATTATTGTCGGATTACTGGATATTTACATAGACTTTACCACCTCCCTTCCAAACTCCCTTAAGTCCCAATGCCTAAGACATAGCATTAATGTTTCTAATGAAGGGCTGCTGATGGACCATATCACCTGCCCAATTTATGCAAATTTCCATTATTCCTCCTAAAAGAGGCCTAGGCCTATGACATGCGACAGCTTTCCATTGGAAAATATTTTAAGAATTTGCTTTGGAAATACCATACCTAAAAAGCTTTGTACTGTATCTAAAAGGCTAATTCTACTTATACCCAGTTGTTTATTGTGTAATCTTCAGGGAGTAAATCTTACTCTGTCCCTTTAGAAGGGCCCTGGATTAGTGACAGTGTGGGTGAGGATGGACACTAGACGCCTCCATCATAATCCTTATTTGGAAGAGTCCAGAGATGTTTGCAAGTCCAGGTTGGTACCTGCTATAAATTGGAGGTTTCCACAACCCCCTCCTCTAGTTTGGTTAATTTGCTAGAGCAGCTCATAGAACTCAGGAAAATGTTTTACTAACTGGATTACTGGTTTATTATAAAAGGTTATAACTCAGGAACAGCCAGATGGAAGAGATACATAGGGTAAGGTATGTGAGAAGCTCTGTAGAGTTTCCATGCCCTCTCCAGGTATGCCGCGCCTTCACGTGTTCACCAATCCTGAAGCTGTCTTAATGCCATCCTTTCGGGTGTTTATAGAGGTTTCATTACATGGGCTTGATTGATTCATCATTGGCCATTAGTGATTAATTCAACCTTCCTGGAGGTGGGGCTGAAAGTTCCAGTCCTCTAATCACATGGTGATCTGCTAAGCCTCAGAGGAGGTAGGGATAGATTTGCTGAACCCTGATCTACCACCTCTGATATACCTCACTGCACCCCACAGGCCTGCAAGTCTTATAACTGCCCAGCCACAAGACCAAAGAAAGAGCCTGGAGGTAGCAACAGAGACACTGAAGGTTTCTTGGATAGGGGATCTTATAAGTCTGAAGCAAAGTCTTGGAGCAGCACCCCGCTGTGTACAGCAGACAGCAGTCAGGACACAGACAGCAGTCTTTGCTTGGGGGGTGGGGAGGTTTACCAGTTATAGTGGGGATTGACATCAGGTTGGCTCATCAGTTACCAGGGAAACCAGCAGAGAGGTGTGTCCCTCACAGCCCCTCAGGTTATCAGCTGTCACAGGGCAGAGGTTTTCACTTTGATAAACTATCCTAATGGAGCTGTTAGCTGGGGCGGGGCAAGCACAGAGGCAGTTATTGAATAAGTTCTGTGATTAAGAGGGAAGGTCAGTCATGCAGGAAGGTGTAGGTGAAGCACAGGGACTGATCAAATAGGGGATATAAAGAGAGCCAAAGAACAGCCATCTTAGGTGGCATGATCCTATACCAGCTCACCTGCATGGGGAAAAGGCAGTGATCCCTGGAGCTAGATGTTGAAGAGTCGCATGGCCTAGAAAGGTAGTAAACCCGGCTGGGGATGATGTCTGTAGAAAGTCCACTGCCAGGTCTATGCCCACCTCCTCTTAGGAGCAGCTGGTAAATCCCCATAAAGCTGCAGATCTGTAAAAAGATGTGAGGGTTGGCGAGGCCTCTCTCTTGGGTCCCGATCTTGGCCTTTATGATGCTAGTGCCTAATCTTGAGCTGCCTCATGAGGCTACTAAGAGCACTAACTTTTCTTCAACAGAAGAGGCAGAAGCCAGCATTGTGGAGTGCCTTTCACATGTTGGCTGTGAACTATTTACCCATGAGGAAATTGAGGCTCTGGGGGTTTAACTAACTTGCCCAAGGTAGACAGCAGTGAGAGTGGATCACAATTCAAAGTAAAATTTTTTTACCTGCAAAGCCCATTCACACTGATTTAGAACTGGAAAACATTCTGGCTGGGATATGGGGTTCTCTACTCCAAAAAAACAAAACATCTCCTTTATCAAGACAGTTCTAAAGAATGTCTAAAGAGAAAAATGATACAATTTGTTAACGAGTTTGATGTCCTTAATTCAAAGGAAAACAATCCATGGACTGAGAAGTACAGCACTTCACATGCAGTGGAACACTCTTCCCAGGGATTTTGGACAAGAGCGGGTTTTATGGGGCCTTATAAGCACTTCCTTATAAGACTAGCACGTCCTTTTATCTAGGGTCAGATAAGCTAAGTTAAGCTGAGTTGGAGGATCGTGATTGGGGTATTCCAGATTTCCTTGACAGTGAGGCATTTCCCATTAGTTCAGGCTGACTTAGGTTTAGATTTGTGACATGAGCTGGGCCACTGGGGAGGCCTCCACTCTGGGGGTCCCAAGCTACAAAGTACCTTTGTCAAGAATTACATGGGTGTTTCTGAGAGGAGTTTCAACTTCATGGCTTTTCTAGATTTCATTTAGGAGTACCCTTATCCCCTTAGTTCTCCCTTCTGGTACTTAGCACTAAGCCTGGCATGATTATTGTTGACTGGTTACTTCTGCAAGGAGTAAGTTTTTAAGTTGAACCTTCAATATCTCCTGAAAATTAAGTTTAGTTTCTCCTAATATACCTGTTTTTTTTTGGTAGGTGGAAATAGCAAGTTGGTTAGAGCAAGAGTGAGGATTTAATTACTGAAACAATTAGAGAAATAACATTGAAATTTTAAAACAAAAATGCAGCCTGTATAACTCTATAGCAGAAATGAGCTCCTATTAGCATATTTTTGGCCTTTTTTTTTTTTTTTCCTATGTCCCAAGTTACCTTTGGTTTATCTCTCAGACCTTTATTAGCCTGGGCTTATACCAACATAGGTGTAAGGAAGATGACATTAATTTCATTTTTCTTTTGTAACTAAAAAACATTGAGGCAGTGTATTTGCATGTAAATAAATGTAAGTGAAAAATAAAGCTCCCTCCCTCAGGTATCCTATATATATATAATCTCCCTTTTCCCATAACACAAATAGAACCATACCAAACACACTGTCCTATACACTACTGCTTTCTTTAACTTAAACAATTTTTGACTAGTTTGGGGATAATTAGTATCTATTTGACTATTAGATAAATGATTAACCATTTTAGAATTTATTATTTTCACTGTACAAAATTCAAAAAATTAATCATCTCTGAACTCACCTTCTGTGTGTAGCAACTTTGGGACTCCCCCATTTCCAAGTTGTTAGAGCCAAGATACAGTTTTAAACCAGCCACAGCATCCTGATGCCCTCTCCCAGTAAAATTTCGTTATAGAGGCATTGAAAAGACCTCAGATGTTCAGTTGTTCTGCCTCTTTTTCCAACTACTTTCTTTTGGCTGCATCGTATGACATGAGGGATCTTAGTTCCCAAACCAGGGATTGAACCCGTGCCCCCTGCATTGGGAGGACAGAGTCTTAACCACTGGACCACCAAGGAAGTCCCTCCAACTACTTTTCTTTAAGAAGGAGGTTGTGTCAATTAGGCACTCATTTAAAAGCCAGACGCCCATGCTATGTGCTGCATGGCCTGGAATGTGTCAGTACTTGAAACTGAACATAATTACACCTGAAAGTGATACAGTGTTATATGTCAATTATAGCTCAATTTTTAAATTTTAAAATTGATTTGTTTAAAATGAACCCTAGCATTGGATGCTGCTTTTCTAGATTTGGCATCCATCAGCCTTTTCCAGAAGTTCCAGCGGAGTGATGAGAAGTGGAAATGAGTTGGGAGCACAGGCATGATTTGTATCCTCAGGACCCTGGGGGTCTGAGAGCTCTCTCTGTTGGTGGAAGGGGAAGTACGTTTGCACACTATCAGTCACCTGCCTCTCCAGCGGTAGTTCTTCATTGAGTGCCAGCCTGTCGTCCAGGCACCAAGCAGGAGTCCTGCATCCCTGAGTCCCAGGAGGTCAGTAGGGGCATAAAGGGCAGTCAGAGAGCTGCGCAGCGATGGCAGCCCAGCAGCCCACTCTGCAAACAGGATAGGCCAGTTAGGAGGATCTTGAATCCGGAGCTTATGGGGCTGGGGGAGGGGGGGGGGCAGGCGAGGTAGGAGGGGGAGCCTCTGGGACAGATCACCCTCCCCTCCTTCCCCTACAACAGGCCCTTCCCTCAGGCTTTGCTCCCTCGCCTCTGCACAGCCCCCACCCTTGTCAGAACAGATCACTCACACACCCCCACCCCCATGAGCCTCTCAGTGTTATGGAAGGTGGAAGTTATGGTAGGTAAATCAACCAACAACTGTAATGACAGGCTGGAACCATAATTTGTTCAAGGCTCTTGTTACCTCACATTTTCCCTGCAATCTCTTGCTTTCCCTTCTTCCAAAAATAAGATCATTGTCCTAAGACACCAAGTTAGTTATTATTTTGGTGAATTTAAGTGCTATATCCCAGCAGGATATGGTATAGCATCAGTTTATTTATATAAGATCTCTGACTGCTAGGCATATTTTATTAACTATGTTAGTTATAATATGGTTTTAAGTTCTTACTAAAAATATCCTTTTTATTTTGGTCTGCAGTTGCCTTTTGCTGATTGAGATGTGTTACATTCCTATGAACATGGTTCATGACTGGTGTTTTCTTCCTTTCTAGTTATGAAAAACCTCCTCCTGGACTTATCAAGGTCAGTGTGAAGTTTGTACTTTTGGTTTTTCTCTGAGACAGATTTGACTCAGTGCTCAGACTCAGTCACTTACGAAAAACAGCTGCATAAGGTTTGAACCTCCTTTTATGATAGTTCTGTGTCTTCCCTGCAGATGGCAGTCGGTTCATGCACTTTGGGCTTTGTCACAGCCTGTGCCTTCACAGAAATTTAATCAGCCTTGTGTCTGTCCCCTAAGAAACCACTGCAGGCCCCCCGAGTGTTCCTCAGCGCTCACTCCCATTTTTTCTGTCTCACTTGTGACTGCATCTCCTCAAAGCTCTCCTGCCCCATGTTCCTTCTCTGACCGCCCCCCCCACCCCCGGTGCTGATTTCTTGAATGTCATCAGCTCAGAGAACACTGGACTCTGAGGAGACGTGAAGCTCATCCAGTCCAGCTCTACCTGTTGCAGGAGTCCCTCCTCCAGCACCCTGGCCACAGTGTCAGTGTCTTTCTGCAGGAGCGAGACTTAGAGGACTTAAGGCCAAAGTAACCTTTTCTTTTTGGTAACTTTCAACTTAAGAAAAAGATTTTTAGAAAACATTTTTCCATTATAAATTTAGTATTCATGGAAACTTGAAAAAATCATAAGGTAAGGGCTTCCCTGGTGGCGCAGTGGTTGAGAGTCCGCCTGCCGATGCAGGGGACACGGGTTTGTGCCCCGGTCCGGGAAGACCCCACATGCCACGGAGAGGCTGGGCCCGTGAGCCATGGCCGCTGAGCCTGCGCATCCGGAGCCTGTGCTCCACAACGGGAGGGGCCACAACAGTGAGGCCCATGTACCGCAAAAAAAAAAAAAAAAAAAAAAAAAAATCATAAGGTAAAAAAACAGCATCTTAATTATATAGTGCAGTTATTTGGTAATGAAAATACATCTCAAAAATACGGCGTGTATGAGATTATAAAACATGACAGTGGCCTTCAAGGTCTAATAATCTATTTTACTCTAACACATTGTTCTTATTATTCCAGGAAACCTTACTTGTTTAACTGTATATTCTGCCTCATTCCACAAAGCTTTTAAGTTAGCAGAAAACCTTTTGTGATCTTAGAATCTAATTTTTGTGCTCTAGAATCAGAATTTGGAGCTCACAGATCAATCCTATGTAAACACTATAACTCTTCTCTAAGAACAGCTACTTTGTTTTCATGGTATAGCTAGCTCTTCTAGTATAGTTACTTCCGTTTTTTCTGTCAGTTATGATTTGTCTTTCTTTCTAGCTCTTCAGGGGGTAACTTATGATGACATTGGGATCTCCAGCCCATGAGAAAGCCAGGCAGGGCTGTGTTCTCAGACAGGTGGGAGAGAGTTCCGGTGCTTTTTTGCCACACAGCTTACACACTGTTTCCTTTTCAGGAAGATGAGACTAAGCCAGAAGACTGTATACCAGATGTCCCAGGCAATGAACATGCCAGGGAATTTCTGGCCCACGCACCAACCAAAGGACTTTGGATGCCACTGGGGAAAGAAGTCAAAGTCATGCAGTGTGAGTGTGGAAGGGTTTCAAGTAACACCCTCAATACATGCAAGTTATAGACCACCGTTTACAAACGAGTTCACTTCTTTTAGTTCATTCTCACCACAGCCCTGCTAAAGTCAGGGCATGATCTCTGTGCTATAGGTGAGGAAGCCGCCTTGCATATGTTATTAAGTGTTCTGGGGTAAGAGGCAGTGCAGTGCCTAGACTCCAGGGCTTCTGGCTGTAAGGGCAATGGTCTTCCACAGGGCCGTAGCTGCCTGCGGAGTATACACTTCAGTAATATTCCTGTAACAGAAAGGATATTGCATGTAGAAATGCCATGGGGGACAAGGGATGCATTGGAGGGTGGTCCCTTGGGTCTTGCCTCAGTCAGTCATCCTCATCAGAGGTGTTGAGGTTTTATCCAGGTAACCTGAGAGGAGCTCTGGGCCACAGAGGGTGTGTCTGGAACAGGTAGAGCTCTGTGTGCACACCCTCCACCGCACCAGAGCAGAAGCATCTTCATCCAGCGTAAGGTGGCATTTGAAGATGGGATACGGCTGCCTTTAAAGACATTTTTTTGTACAAAGATTCTTCACGCACATAATTAATATAGCGGTTCTCAGCCCCTTTCCTTCATTCCCCTCACCTAAAAGGCGACCACCTCAACCTCTTTTAGGAAGGTTATTTTGAAGTTTATCCCTATGTATCTATAAAGGTTTTTGGGGTTTTTTTAAATTAATTAATTTGGCTGTGTTGGGTCTTCGTTGCTGCACACAGGCTTTCTCTAGTTGCGGCGAGCGGGGGCTACTCTTGATTGCGGTGCGCGGGCCTCTCACTGCAGTGGCCTCTTTTGTTGCAGAGCATGGGCTGTAGGTACGCGGGCTCAGTAGTTGTGGCTCACGGGCTTAGTTGCTCCGTGGCACGTGGGATCTTCCCAGACCTGGGCCCGAACCCATGTTCCGTGCATTGGCAGGCGGATTCTTAACCACTGCGCCACCAGGGAAGTCCCTATCCCTGTGTGTCTAGATAACAGGATTACATTCCTGCCCCTTGATTTTTCAGGTTTCTTCATTATCTGTTGACTTCTTCCTATAGAAGACAAGAATTCAGCTCTTTTTTTCTTCCTCCATCCCATCTCAAACACATACCCTTCCTATATCTCATTGTCCCAGTAATAGTTATATCATAAATTTAGTTAAGTAAACCCTTTGTGTTTATTATTTTCAGAGTTGAATCACATATTAAACTGATTACATTTCTTTCTTTTTTCTTTTTTTTTTTTTAAATTATGGTTAAAAACCACTCCTCTCTGTGATAGGGTAGTTAGTTGTGCTTCACTTACCATTTTACAGTTCTTTTCATTGACTTGCAAATTAAAAGTGTTTAGTCTGGACCAGAACCAGTTTTACATGAAGTTAATGAAGCTTAACCTTTAGGTTCCCTTGTACCTTCCAAAGGTCTTTGGAGTCCCACCAGTGCAGTCATATGGTTCTTTCTTTCTATAAAATTTGCCAAGGCAAGACTTTTTTCCCCCTAAAGAGCCCTTCCTCTCCTTAATTTATGTAAGCTACAGACTCCACAAAACTTGGATCCATCCCAGATGGAAAAACACATGCACACATAACCCCGTATTCATTGATTTCCATGATCCTAGTGTTATCTAGAGCAGAGCTTCTCAAACTTAGGGTGGGCCTGAGATTCTGTATTTCTGACAAGCTCCCAGGTGATGCTAATCTTGCTGGTCTGTACCGTTGACCACACGTTGAGTAACAAGGATCACCTTTCCTTTAACAAAGAGTTTTGATCACAGATGGTATGGATCCTTCTTGATACCCACACATCAATCTGTGGCATTTAAAATCCCCCCCTTTTTATCATAAAGACAGACATGTGTTTGAAGCGGTCTACATTTGCATTAAGAGTGCATTCCTTCTTCCCCAGGTGGAAATAGTGGGGAGATAAGGACAGGGGCAGGTCAGAGAATCCCTAAACTTCATTTTTTCCCAATGGTTTCCTACTACCAACTCTCAAATAAAAATATAAAGGGGAAAACATTATTTCCCTGTCACTACATATTTTCAGTAGCTACCAGCGTGGAGCAAATTGGGCTGATCTTACCTGTAATCCCTCTTCCTGCTTCCTGACCTCCTTGGTTGGAGTTGCTTGATGCCTGTATAGTTTACTAGGTCTGCTGTAACAAAGTACCACAAACTGTATGACTTAAACGAGAAATTTATTATCTCACAGTTCCGGAGGCTAAAAGTCCAAAGTCAGGGTGTCCTCCTGAGGGCTGTGAGGGAAGGATGTATTCCAGGCCTCTCTAAAAACCCTGTCTCCCAGTAAGGTCACATTCTGAGGTACTAGAGGTTAGGACAATTCAGTACAGTGGGGAAGCAGACGGGATGACACAATTCAACCTGTAACACAGTTAAAAAACAAAAAATCACACTTTGCTTTTTGCATGGGATTGTTTAGTAAGTACTTGATTCATTTCTAAACCTCTACGATTAAAGGATACTTGAGGAAGTGATTAGTTTCCCTCTCTTTTCTGGGATCTTACATGGTTCATCCATTAATTATATTTGCTTTTAAAATTGGAATCTAATGAAGAATATCTTTAATATGATCTACTGATACCTTTATCTTGATTGAGTAAAAATGCATTATCTTACAGAAATATATCCCTTTTTCTTTGTTTTCAGGTTGGCGTTGTAAACGGTATGGTCACCGAACGGGCGACAAAGAATGCCCTTTCTTTATCAAAGGCAACCAAAAGTTAGAACAGTTCAGAGTAGTAAGTAAAACCCCAGAGTGTCAATTTACGTTTACTGGAGATGATGAATGTCGGTGAATCAGGCAGTCACCAATGAACTGGAGGTTCACATAAAATACATTCCGAAAGCCTTTAGGCCAAAGTATCTGGTGTTAACTACATCTCTGTTAAATCGAATTTGTGTGAAAGATTAGTTCATTAACAAAAAAATGCGTATTAAAATGTTATTTGCTTTTGTCTTGGGAACAGTGCTTCTTTTTCTGAAGCAGGCATTTTTATCAATTCAGTTAGTTTTTCTTTTTTTTTTTTTGGCATGCAGCTTGTGGGATCTTAGTTCCCTGACCAGGGATCAAACCTGGGCCCTCAGGAGTGAGAGCGCAGAGTCCTAACCACTGGACTGCCAGGGAATTCCCCAGTCAGTCTTTTTTTGCTTATGTAAAAAAATCATATTTCATAAATAAAATCAGGGTTCTAGTTTCCCAGTCTTTGTCTAAAGTCTGTATATTTTTCTATCATAAACTCGAAGTGTGTGTATAAACGATGTACCTCTTTAGATAACAGTAAAATCAGTCTATCATTTCATCACTTTATTTTAACAAAGTCACCTCCCAGGGTTAATTCACCATTCACTAACTGTTTTGGTCAATTTAACTATGCTATTACTGGATATATTGGGATTATCAGCATATCAAACAGGGGTATATAAACATTCTCCAAGGATTTTAAGACATTTAAAATACTGGGTTTTCATTCTACTAATTTACAGAAAATATTCTGGATAAATCACTGCTACCTGGAATGTCAACTTTTACAGTGCCTATAATAGATAATTTAATGATAAATCTCAGAAACTGAAACATATTCATATTTTTAAAATTTAGAAACCTAAATTCTAAGAATTGATCTAAGGATATAACAGAACATCAGTATGCACAAATTATTATGAATGTATAAGGATAACTTTCAGAATTATTTATATGATTAGAAAATAGAAACTGAAGAAAAGTAGGAAACAACTGCAGTGTCCAATATACAACATAAGTTACCACAACATATAAATCATATAGCTTTTAAGAATTATGTTTTAAAAGAATATGTAATGTCATAGGAAGATATTCATGAAAGCATAAGTGAAAAAGAGAATAGGGTTGTATATATAACATAATTATAATCTTCTGTAAATGATGAATAATGACTGGAAGAACCACACTAAAATATTAACAGTGGATATCCCGGCTGGTAAAATAATAGATACTTTTAACTTTATGTTTTCTTTGATATGTAAAAATTTTATAATAAACATACTTTTAAAGATAATTCACATGCCATAAACTTCATTCTGTGTATTCATATTTTTAAGTAATTTAAGTAGCTTTTAATTATACAAATATCATAAGAATAAATTTGCCTTATTTTAACAAAATGGAAACATTACAGTAAGGTTTTTCACAATTGATTTTTCAAGTCCAATCTTGCCTCTCTCCCCAGAGGGAATTTGTAGTAAGTAGCTTGAATATACTTCCAGACTTCTCTTTGGTCATATCCAGTATGTTTTTGTGTACCTATAAATGAATCATTCTTACGCATCATTTCCAAATCACTTGTTTTGCTTAATAATATCTCTTGATCATCTTTCCACATAGAACAAATAGAATTACCTCAAGATTTTTAACCTTGAGTGGTATTTAATAATGATTTTGCCATGGTTTATTTCCTTATAAAGGCTATGTAAATTATACCCTGTATTTGTATAACTGGAAAATCTTTTTTATAGCCTCCAGGAGTTTGAAATGATGGCAACCCTTAGGAAGGATTAGAACATATTAAATATAAAATCACACCACACAGGAGGGGAAAAAATTAGTTTCAGTGAAAGAGGGATTTAATTTAACAGTCTATGAAGCCTAACCTAACCATAACCTTCTCTAACCCTCAAGGCACATGAAGATCCCATGTACGACATCATTCGAGAGAATAAAAGACATGAAAAGGATGTAAGGTGAGATTGTCCAGATGATAACAATATCCTCTTAAAGTATGAAATTATATAGTTAGAACCTTTATAAATTAAAAATTTTTTAATTCCAGTATTAGAGGAGTGGTTTTAGTAAATATGGTACTTTAATTGCGAAATATTTGGAAGACAGGAATAGTCCCTGAAAAAGCCAGTGTGTGGGGAATGAGCAGGCCAGCCTGTTCTACTTGGGTTAACTTAAAGCAATGGGCTTGGCCCAGCCCACTCATGTTACTGATAGTTGACGCTGGCAACTGTAATTTATCTTCTCTAGATCTTCTTTAAAGATCTGAGCTTTTGTTAAAAATTCCTAGACAGGGTGAAAAAACAAGAGGACTTTTTTTGGGGTTTGGGGGGTATTTTTTCAAATTGGTGATACTGAACTATAATTATATATAATTATTATATATAATATATATACATAATATATATTCTTCTTCAGATTCTCTTCCCTTACAGGTTATTACAAAATATTGAGTATAGTTCCCTCTGCTGAATTATAATTGTTGAGGAGGTAGATTACTTAGTATGAACTTGAACAGTGGGGGAATGATTTAGGAAAGTATCCATCTGTTAGAAGTTATAATAGTAAGGACTATGGAAACATACAGAAACATTTAGGACAGTGAAAAGAATACAAAATAGCTTGTACACTGGTTACAGTCATGTAAAATAGGCAGGGGTGTAGACAAGAATGGGGAAAACATGCAAAAATAAGTACTGTCTTTAATGAGGTGATGCTTTGTGACATTTTTCACCCTCACTACTGTTCTTATATTTTTATCTAAAAGAATTTTTTAAGTTACATTGAATATGTTTCTTTGGTCAATCTTATGTGTTTAGGATACAACAGTTAAAACAGTTACTGGAGGATTCAACATCAGATGAAGATGGGAGCAGCTCCAGTTCCTCAGAATGTAAAGAGAAACACAAGAAAAAGAAGAAGAAAGAGAAGCATAAGAAAAAGAAGAAAGAAAAGAAAAAGAAGAAAAAACGAAAGCATAAGTCTTCCAAGTCAAATGAGAGTTCAGACTCAGAGTGACAAGAGCTTGACTTGTTCAACATTCTCTTCTCAGAAATCAAACATCGTGGCCAAAGAGCAGAGGAATGTGGAATCAGAGAGGAATAGGAGAGAGAGACACCAAGAGAGGAGGAGATTTGGTATCACAGGTGTGAATTCTCACCTACCTTCCAGTAAAGATGTGACCCCCAGAAGAGTGAGTTGTATCTTGCCAGGTGCTAGCTCTGGACAGCGGCTGATTTCAGGCTGGAAAGCTTTTCTCATTGTTCTCCTCCCTGCTGATCACTGTGGGTCCTGATTCCTTAGAAATGCCTCTGGCAGGGTGGCCAGACTAAGGGAATCTCTGAGGAAGCTCTTCCAGGTGCTGCCACAGCTTCCACCCTCCATGGTGGGGCTACTTAATGCCCTTAGATTTCAGGCTTGACTTTCCTCTGTTGTTGAGGATAATAAAAGCTCATTATTTATTTTTTTAATGTATTTCTTTTTTATTTCTTAATGCATGCATGTATGTACTCCAGATTTAAAAGGTACCTAAGGTTTACTTATGAAAACTCGTACTACTTCCTTTCTCCCCCAGCTTCCCAGTTCCTTCTCCCAATGGCTACCAATTTTACCAGTTTCTTGTGAAGTCTTCCAGGAATATTGTATACATCACAGACAAGCAGAGGGCTTTTTTTTTTTTTAACACAAATGCTATACACATTCATCTGCACGTTATTTTTTTTAACTTAACAGTATAAAACTTATTTTTTTATTTATTTTATTTATTTATTTTTGGCTGCATTGGGTCTTCACTGCTGTGCGCAGGCTTTCTCTAGTTGTGGTGAGCAGGGGCTATTCTTCGCGGGCTTCTCAGTGCAGTGGCTTCTCTTGTTGCAGAGCACGGGCTCTAGGCACGCGGGCCTCAGCAGTTGTGGCACGCACCCGCGGGCTCAGTAGTTATGGCTTGCAGGCTCTAGAGCGCAGGCTCAGCAGTTGTGGCGCACAGGCTTAGTTGCTCTGCGGCATGTGGGATCTCCCCAGACCAGGGCTGGCACCCGTGTCCCCTGCATTGGCAGGCAGATTCTTAACCACTGCGCCACCAGGGAAACCCTAAAACTGATTTTAATATTAAGTACATCCTGCGCTGCTGCATCAAAGGTACAGTGTGTTCATAATCACCTGACCTGAGATGATTTGTTGACTGTGGGAAGGGGTTCCTATAACAATAATGAAAAATCTTGTGTGGTTACATTGTATTTAACTTGCTTGGATCTTACTGCCCCAGTCCTAAGATTTTTCCAGAGTATTTGACTCAGAAAAAATTTTAAGACTATAGGGGAATTACTATTCAGGGTCAGCTACCCACATCCCAAAATATATCCCTCACTTCCTTCCTCTTCCTGTTGGTAAGTATGGCCCACCTGTGCTCTTCTAGCTTTGTGCCACAGCAGAAGCAGCTTACCTATCAGGGTGGTGCCTGCAGCTATGGGAGAGTAAGTCCTATGGGTTGCTGAGCCAAATGGAGCTAGATCTTGCTCACCGGTAAGTGTCCCTACCTATCCAGCAGGTCTCTTGCTGTTTTCAGGGTCCCAGGAACTTTCTATTCCCATTTCCAAACGCTTACCCTGGGGGTTGGATTCCCCCTTCTTTAAAGAACAGCCAATCCAAGCCCAGAATGGACCCACCTCTTACTCTAATCAATAAATCCTCCTGGGGGCTTCCCTGGTGGCACAGTGGTTGAGAGTCCGCCTGCCGATGCAGGGGACACGGGTTCGTGCCCCGGTCCGGGAAGATCCCACAGGCCGCGGAAAGGCTGGGCCCGTGAGCCATGGCCGCTGAGCCTGCGCATCCGGAGCCTGTGCTCTGTAACAGGAGAGGCCACAACAGTGAGAGGCCTGCGTACCGCTAGCTAGCTAGCTAGCTAGCTAAATAAATAAATAAATAAATAAATCCATCCATCCATCCTCCTGGTCTTGGCCTTGGAATAGTACCTCAGTAACACAATTGTCCAGATCGGAATCACTGGGGCGTGTTATTTCTGAAAATCCTGAGACCAGTTAAGTTAGGCATGCTCTAAACTTATCCTTGGCATCCTAGCTCAGCATGCACAGCATTGGCCATTTGTACTCTTCTATATGACTCGCAGTGTTTGCTACCCATTCCCAGCCTCTTCAGGGAATTTCTTACTGTCCCATTCAGGACAAAATGTTCATTAAAAATAGGAAAGAATCTGCATCAATGATTCTCAAACCTTTGGGACATCAAAATCAACTAGAGTGCTTGTTAAAACACAGATTCCTGTGCTCCCAGAATTCTAGAGTTTCTGACTCTGGGGTGGACCTGGGAATTTTCCTCTCTAACAAGTCCCCAAATGATGCTAAGGCTGTTGGTCTGGGGACCATACTTGGAGAACCACTGCTCTATATCTTTAACCTCTTACTGGAGCATTCCTGCTTTAACTGGAATCTGACCATATGCTGCAGCTTTTGTAAATTAACTACTGTCCATACTCCCTCACTGTGGTTTTATCTATCTATCTACTCTTTCTGGCCTAGATTCTAAAGTCCATCACTTAAGCCTGTCATCTCCCTTGACCTGTGGTCCTTTTGGCCTTCTTTCTCAGAAGAACCTCGAGCCAGACTGCTAGAGAAAAATCACACAGCCATGCAGTTGGTACCCCCATAAAGTCACCTCCAAACTGAACTTACACCATAAACCTGACTAGTTGCACACTTTGGGTTGCTAGTCACCTGTTCAAATCTTCATCCCAAAACATCTCCCTTCAAGTTGAGCATTTTCAAGTCCTATCCAGGAAGGCATTACAAGCCCTCAGACCTTCCTGCACCAAGACGTCCCACCATCCATCATCATAGTTGTGGTAGGCAGAATTCTAAAATGGCCCCAGGATTTTCCCCTATTCTCCGGGAGTGTTAAGTATGATGAATTTTACTCTGATGATTAGATTATTTTACAAGCACAAGGAAAGGGAAATTATGTGGGTGTTCCTAACCAAATCATAAGAGCCCTTTAAAATTCCAGTGTTTTCTCTAACTGGTCACAGTATAGGGACTCAGATTTCAAGCCTGTGAGAGATTCCACATGCCACTTCTGACTTTACAGACAGATACAGATGAAATCAGGATTACAAGGTGAGGAGTGCAGCAAACTAATTAGAGGCCCCTAATAGCCAGCAAGGAAATGGGGAACTCAGTCCCAGTGCCAAAAAAACTCAATATTGCCAACGCCAATGACCCTGGAGGCATAATCTTCACTAGAGCCTCAGGTGTGAGCCCAACCCTGCTGACATCTTGATTTTGGTCTTGTGAGATGCTGAGAACCCAGTTAAGCTTGCCCACACTTATGACCTACAGAATGTGAGATACTAAATGGTTGTTTTTTTAAGCCATTAATGTTTGTGGTAATTGTTATGCAACAACAGAAAACTAACAGCTCAGTCAGGTTTCTCTCTTCCTCCACCTGTGCTCTGGACCCCACCTGGCAGCCAGCAGTAGAGGTCAGTGATTAAAAGCACTGCCTCTGAATTCAGACCGCCTGGTTTTGAATCCCAGCTGCACCATTCGTGAACTCTCAGATTGGGCAAGGTGCGTGACCTCTCTATGCCTTCATTTCCTTGACTGATAACATTTACCCCATAGAATCAAGTGACTTGGTATTGTAAAGCATTTAGGACACATTTTGGCACATTTCAGTTGCTAAATGAATACTAGCTACTCCTGCTACTTCTTATGCTATCATCAACATCTCTTCCTGCTTTCTCGGGCATCTTCCTCCTTTCATTATCACATTTCCCATCTTCAGACTCTTTTTGACTGCTATGTTGCCCTCAGCATTTAAAAATTATTTTAAAATTATAGAATTAATACATGCTCATAAAAAGTTCCCCATTCAGGGCCATTATAAAAAGTGAGAGTCTACTTATAATGGTTTGATATAGCCTTCCAGATCTTTTAAAAAATGCATTACCAAACACATAGGCACAGGGTTATTTTATTAGTTGAAAAAACTGAAGAACACTATGAATATTGTTCTATGACTTGGTTTCACTTACTATACCTTGGCAAACTGCTTACCACAAGCTTTATTTTTTTTTAATTTTTATTTTATATTGGAGTATAGTTGATTGACAATGTTATGTTAGTTTCAGGTGTACAGCAAAATGATTCAATTATACATATACCTATTCTTTTTCAGGTTCTTTCCCCATTTAGGTTGTTACAGAATATTAAGTAGAGTCCCCCGTGCTATACAGTAGGTCCTTGTTGATTATCTATTTTATATGTAATCGTGTGTATATGTTAATCCCAAACACCTAATTTACCCCTCCCCCCCACCTTTCCCCTTTGGTAACCATAAGGTTTTTTTTAAGTCTGTTTCTGCTTTGTAAATAAGTTCATTTGTATTTTTTTTTAGATTCCACATATAAGTGATATCATATGATATTTGTCTTTCTCTAACTTAGTATGATAATCTCTAGGTTCTTCCATGTTACTACAAATGGCATTATTTCATTCTTTTTAATGGCTGAGTAATAGTCCATTGTATATATGTACCACATTTCTTTATCCATTCATCTGTGGATGGATATTTAGGTTGCTTCCATGTCTTGGTTACTGTAAATAGTGCTGCAATGAAACATTGGGGTGCATGTATCTTTTGTAATTACAGTTTACTCCAGATATATGCCCAGGAGTGGGATTGCTGGATCATATGGTAGTCTTATTTTTAGTTTTTTAAGGAACCTCCATACTGTTCTCCATAGTGGCTGTACCAATTTACATTCCCACCAACAGTGTAGGAGGGTTTCCTTTTCTCCACACCCCCTCCAGTATTTGTTTGTAGACTTTTTTTTTTTAACATCTTTATTGGGGTATAATTGCTTTACAGTGGTGTGTTAGTTTCTGCTTTATAACAAAGTGAATCAGTTATACATATACATATGTTCCCGTATCTCTTCCCTCTTGCATCTCCCTCCCTCCCTCCCTCCCTCCCTCCCTATCCCACCCCTCCAGGCTGTCACAAAGCACCGAGCCGATATCCCTGTGCCATGCGGCTGCTTCCCACTAGCTATCTACCTTACGTTTGTTAGTGTGTATATGTCCATGACTCTCTCTCGCCCTGTCACAGCTCACCCTTCCCCCTCCCCATATCCTCAAGTCTGTTCTCCAGTAGGTCTGTGTCTTTATTCCTGTCTTACCCCTAGGTTCTTCATGACGTTTTTTCTTAAATTCCATATATATGTGTTGGCATACGGTATTTGTCTTTTTCTTTCTGACTTATTTACTTCACTCTGTATGACAGACTCTAGGTCTATCCACCTCATTACAAATAGCTCAATTTCGTTTCTTTTTATGGCTGAGTAATATTCCATTGTATATATGTGCCACATCTTCTTTATCCATTCATCCGATGATGGACACTTAGGTTGTTTCCATCTCCGGGCTATTGTAAATAGAGCAGCAATGAACATTTTGGTA